GCCTGATTGAGCCTTACGCCGCTCGAATTAGCTGATTATCCAATGCAACATTGGATAATCACCCAGGGTTACCACGAGGAGGTCTTCGAGTCGACTTGACTAATGATTTACGAATTACGCAAGTTGTGCTTGCCCTTCTACATCAGTCCATTAAACCCCGCCCCGTAAGTACAGGGTATATTGCAGTTGTGCTAATCTACCGAACGATAGATCTATTGAATCGATTTTCAGGCCAAGTATTTCGAGCATATCTCACAGATCATAAGGATTATAAATTCCTTTATAGCACACACTTTTCCAATATAATTTTTTTTCCGATTTGCAGTCCTGTTTTTTGAGCCATATTGGAAAGTATATCTCCTTATTACCCTTGCCTCCTTCCACTCATCTCTTAAGATATATTTTATCACTTTCACTTGGGCTCCTTGCAGATTGAATGCCGCTCCAGACCCTGGCTTATCGAACCCTCCAATGGCAACAAGTTTCTCTATGTGCGCCTCAAGGCCATCTTCCTGAGCAAACACAATCCGAAAAAGACCCTGAATGCGACCCATTTGGGGACCAACAGCTGGCGCTGCGAGACCAAGGCCCGTGCGGTGCTCACCACATCGGAGGGTAAGCAGCGATCTCTTGGAAAAGTCAGAAAACCCTTTCAAAGTAATTCGTTATGCCACATCCAGGTCTGACCATTGTGGCCTGTCCGCTGAGTCCCGACTCGAACGCTTACGAATTCGTGGAGATCTTCAGCTCCGGCTGGAACGAACGACCCAATTTTGCGCTGATCAATCATTCCCGTGCAATAAGCGTGGAGTTTCTGCGTCCCAGCAATGGCGATTATACCTTCAACTGGATGGAACTGGTGCCCAGACCCACGCTCAGCATAGCTGGTGAGTATCCAGCCCAACTTCTTAATATATAAATCTAAATCCAATATCTTTAACATTCACAGAGGATTGTCAATTCAAGTGCGCGGAGCTGGGCGCCTGTGTGAATGCGAGCGTCTGGTGCGATGGCGTCATCCATTGTCCCTCCGGCGACGATGAGGCCTTCCTCCAGTGCTCCGCTCTGATGAAACTGCCCGCCGAAATACTCGCCACGCTCTGTCTGATCTTTGTGCTCTCGTGTTGTGCTTTCGCCGCCTTTGCTTACAAGTTAGTAACTGAAGAACGACTCTCCGTAGCCATAATATATATATATATATATACATATTCTTGATCAGCAACAACAACTCAGTCTGTCTGTCGGTTTATATGCCAAGTAGAGTCTCAGGCTTAAAGCTGATAAGACTTCGTCTTTTGTTGCAGAAAATCGACATAATAAGAGAAATATTCTTAATATTTAAAAATTGTTGCAACCCTCCTGCACTAGATCTCTGGGAGATCTCTCTCTAGCAAGATCTCAAGCTTGGGACTTACAATATTGAATATATGCCCAATATAAGGTCAAAATTTCATCAACATCGAACTACTTTATCATAAAATTTGAACAGTTGTTCGATAATAAAGTATTTGTATGATAACTATTGCAATTTTCGTTGTAAGCCAAGCAAATGATTCAGTTAAAAGCTTAAAACTGATCCTAACCTCAACGAACTACTATATCATAAAGGTGAAAATTAAAATTATATGAAATGATGATATTAACGTAACAGACAGGCAGACAGACTTGCAGACAGAAGGACAGACTGGTAGACAGAGAGACAGACGGATTGACTGACTGACAGACTGACAGACGGATAGACTGACTGACAAACTGACATACAGACAGATAGACTGATAGACTGACAAACAGACAGACTGACAGTCAAACTTGCAGACAGACGGACAGACTGGTAGACAGAGAGACAGACAGACAGACAGACAGACAGATGACTGACTGACAGACTGACTGACAGACTGACAGGCGGACAGATAGACTGACAAGCAGGCAGTCATACAGACAGGCAGTCTTACAGACCGACAGACAGACAGACAAAAAGAGAGACAGACAGACCGTCAGACAGTTTAACATACAGACAGACAAACAGGAAGAGAGTAATATATATATATATATTTATCATATAAACTTATGCACACCTATTTCAACTTCGGCACACCGAAGACAACTACTCTCTATTCACACAATTCTCTGTCTATTTCTTAGAAAAATCAAACGCAAATTGCGCGGCTCATCGGTGCTGCAGACGCGTCTCAAGTCGCTCAGCTCGATGGATACGGCGGTGCTGGATGAAAAGGAGGTGATTTGCTGACAAAGCGACAATTCTGTGCGTTACGTTGAGATCGATCGTGTGACCACGGTCTGATTCGGTCGACGGCCACTAACGTGCAGAATTGTGCCACGGAACTGAAATCGATACTAAAAAAAAATATACAGAAATCCAAAAAACTGAACTCGATGCGAAACGCGATCAAAAGGCAAAAAAAAACAAATCAAAAAACCAAAAAACAAAAACAAACTCAATACCGAAATCAAAAGTCGTTCACACCTGTTTTTAAAATGCATTTAAATCAAAAAGAAAAACCAAAAATACCAAGAGAAAAATTTTATTTCGTATTTAAACTCGGTTTTATACAGTTTATATATAAATATAGAAATCTGGCTAAGAGACTCGACGCACACGAGCTGTTTTATAAGCAATTTTTCTAGGCCTAACTTGAAAATTTCATTTTCCCATGCAATTTGTGCTCAGTTGTTGTTGAATACGTGTGCATACTTTTTCCACACACTGTACATACAATACGCGAATGTCACGTAGCATTTAGTGGGGGGGTAAAAACTTCCGCTACGTTTTTTTTACAAACTTAACCAAATTACCAAAAACTCATAGACCTATGTAGATACAACTGTTTCCTAATAGCCTCTAAGTAAACGACATACTAGCCAAAAGGAAAACAAAAAAAAAACAAGGTGCATAAAAACCTTTGGAAAAAAAGCAAATAACTCTGGGCGGGGCTACGCAGCCCCATCTGAGTACTCGTAGTAATTATTTCTTCTGGTAAGTCCATGTCGGGCCGACCACAGCATTTATTATGCGACGCACAAATAAACCAAAAAGTGACTAATTGAAAAAGAGAAATATGGTAAACAAAATAATCCAAATAGAACTTAAGAACTTTGACAATTTAAGATTTGACTAAACCTAGTTAAATAGTCGCCAGATCGTTCAGATCAAGCGATATGTCAATATCATATGACTGCAAAACCAAGCGACATTTTTGAGCGGTTCACGGTTCGAATCCGCGACCACACTTAGCCCCATGAACCTAGGTCTAGCTGTGAGCCTTGGTTCTCAATTATTAGAGCAACAATTTATTATATTATGTTTTAGTATATTAGCCGAAGTGAAACACTTTTCGAATTCTGAGTATATCAAAACCGAGAGAGAAAAGTATTTTTCAAAATAATGAAGAATTTTCTAAAAAAAAAATACATTTTCACGTTTCCTTTTTAAAGCAAATTCTGTTCAAATTGCGATTCATGTTAAATGAAAAGTCGAGTTTAAACCAGGTTTGAACCGGTTCGATGGTTAAAACCCTTTGCAGCCCTAGTTCAATATAAGCTAGAAACTAGTTGAAAATTCGTTAGTCGTTTCATAGACGTAGCCAATCATGCATTATATATCACCATAATAAGCATATGCTGAGCCAAATGCAGTTCAGATCGAATATATACATACATATATGTTAAGTCTTAAAGTCACGCCCCAAGTCACGCTCATTGTTGTTCTCGTTGTTGTTGTTCGTCTCCAAAACAAATGTGCACCGTTTCGCTCTCATAGCTCACAAATTCACATTTAGCGCCTGCCTAAACCCACACACGCACACACGCACACACACATCCTGCAAGAAAAACAATAGAACAAATATCGTTTTACTTTTCTGCATGGTAATATGTTGGCTCTGGGCTCTGTGTGGCAGCTAACTAAAATTCGATAATTCTCTATTTTATATGCTTTCTGCTGAATAATCGTTTGATTTGGTATCGAAGAGAACGGCTGAGACCAAGGCCTAAAGCTTGGCAGCAACAACAAATGCGCAACTGGGCTGGCGGCAGACAGACAGACACAGAGAAAAAGAGACAGAGAGAGAGGGGAAGAGAGAGAGAGAGAGAGAGAGAGAGACAGGGCGAAAGATCAGAGTGAGAGAGTGAGAGCAAGAGAAGTCAGAGATCGAACAGGGCCTCACTCCACGATCTTAAATGCAATTAATACCAACAACTCAACTTAAAAGTATTGTAAATATTTAAGCGACAACGTCAACAAATAGAAAACTGTATAACAATTTTACACAACGCGTTTTATTTATCATATAACATAGTTCAACATTTATCAACATAACTGAAACAGTTGCCTATGTTACGAAACTCTCGAAAATAGTGAAACAAGTTTTGATGTTCAAATCAAACGCAGACAATAAACAAAAAACAAATCACAAAAACATATTTCATTTGAAAAGATTTCGAGCTACTAGTAGAGAATACTTCATACATACATATACACATATATATATCAGCGATTCTTGGAGATCGGAAGCGTCGGATTATATATACATATACCCAAAAACAATTTAAGGAAAGTACTTAATAAATTCAATTCAATTCAATTAAATTCAATTGAGTTTATAAACAATTAGGCAAATACAATTAAATATATATAAACATATATATACACACACACACACACATATATATATATATATATATGTGTGTGCGCCGATCTCATTTGAATGGACTGAGGCAAAGATGTGCTGGCGAATAGCCAGAGGCCCGGACGAGCGTCAAAAATTGCAAAGACCACATAAGGTTCGATTTTTAAAATTAAAACTAGTTTAAAATAAAATAAAATTAAAAACCAAAACAAAGATAAACCCGTAACTAAACAAAAACGTAAACTAAATTAAAATGTTGTAAAAAACAAAACAAAAAACAAAACCGAAAATCATATCAGATTCTAAAATGATATTAAAATTAAATGGAAAAACGTAAACTCAATAAATGAACATTTAAATTCAAATCAAATCTGTTCACGGCTTACTGCTTTATATATATATATATATTCCCAGTTCCGGATCTAGCCCAGTTGGCTTTCCATCCTGGGATTCGGAGCAGCCGCCGGGCTGGCGTGTCGCTGGCGATGCTTGTAAAGCGAGCTGGGATCTCGCGTGGAGAACTTGCAATGCTCGCACTTTAGCGGCTTTTCGCCCGTGTGCTGGCGCATATGTATCTGCGGGGGATTGGTGAAAATTACTTAAAATAACCACATTAAATGTACATAGATTAGAACAACTATAATACGCCTTGCCCGGGGTTCAAGTTTTCTACATTCAATTCAGTTCCAATCAGAATCATTTTCAAAAAACATGAACTAGTTTGAACTAGGAATATTTGAGTTTATCTTTTTTAAATGAATCTTGGCCCAAATAAGATTGAGTTGCCAAATTGATCTAGAGGCCAAACCATGAATGAAGACCCAACCCTCGTGAAAATCGGTTGAGTTTTGACCAATTAGTGGGAAATTTTGTAGGAAGCCATATAAGTATAATATATATATCTGTGTGCATGCATGTATGTATGTACATGCATACATATGTACATACATACATATGTAAATGCATACATATGTACATAGATACATAAGTACATGCATACATATGTACATAAATACATATGTACATATATGTAGTACATACATACATTGTACATATATGTACATATATACAATGCATATATACATATACATATATGTACATATATAAATGTATGTATGTACATATCTGTGTATATATGTATGTACATATCTATGTACATATTTTATACATATCTATGTACATATATGCAATGCATGTATGTACTACATACATATGTGTGTCTGTATTTACAATGTATGTATGCAAATATGTATGTATGTATCTAGCTATGCATGTATGTCCGTCTGATGTATGTAGATATGCATGTACGTATGTACATATGTATGTATGTATGCATGCATACATCCAGGTTTGCATATATGCAAAACAATCATGCATACACATATGTAATACACATATGTAGGCAAACGTTTCATACTTGCGGGTGGAATTTCTCGAATCCCCGTCTCAAAATGCACCTTCATCACATAAGGCAACTACAGTGCACATTTCAGCTTCCTAGCTCAGCAATCAGTCAATCAGTCATGCAGTCAATCAATCAGTCAGTCAGTCAGTCAGTCTGTCAGGCACTTTTATATATAGAGATAGATGTGATGTCTTACTATTAGGCTAGCCTTGCGCGCTGTCTTCTTGCCGCAGACATTGCAAATGAAAGGTTTTATCTTGTTGTGCACGGTCTTCACGTGCTTGGAGAGCGTTTTGCCATTGACAAATTTGCGTTGACAAATCTCGCATGTTTTCTCCGCATAATATTTGTTCTTCTTAGCTGTGGCGGCCGCCTGTGGCTGCGATGCTTGCGATGCTGTCGCCTCGCTCCGCTGTTGCTGCTGCTGCTGCTGCTGTTCCTCCTGCTGCTGCTGCTGCTTCTGGGCACGCCGACGCAGCAGCAGCTCGCGGCGCATGACCCTGGCGCGCCATTTCCTGTGCACACGCATGTGCCGCCAGACGAGCGCCGAGATGGGCGACTTGTAGTCGCAGCCGAGTGCGGGACATTGCAGCAGATCCACATCCAAGTGATGCACCTTCCACAGATGTAGGGAGCAGCGGCGCCAGTTGGGCATATCTGCACCGCACTCGCTGCAACTGAAGCCGGCGTCCTTGTGGCACTTGCCGTGCATTGCCAGCTTTTGAATGTCCTCAAACTTGTAGATGCAGGCGCTGCTGGCATCGCAACTTTGTTGGGATAACACAGTTAAAACTTTGGAAAATTCTTTTTTAAAGTCATAAACTGCTTACTGCAATTGCTGATTTGCATGCAACACCACCCGAAAGTCTCTAAACGGCAGTGGCTGCAGCTCGGCAGGTGGTGGCGGCGCCAGGGACTCTTCATTTTGATCCTGGGACTCCGTGTTTTTGGCATTTTGCTTTGGCAACGCGCCTTGCCTGGACGTTGGTGTTATTGGCTCACACTTGTGGTATAGCATCATGTGGCCACGCAGATCCTCCAGTAAATCATATTGCCGCAGGCACAAACTACACACATACACAATACGCGGAGGCAGCTCCATGGCAAACAATAAAAAATTCTTCAAAACTTATTTCAATTGAGCGGCTCGACAGATAATTATCAGCTGTTTAGTTAACAGTAACGGTAGTAACTTAACATTCTGCTGAAATGTTAATAACGTGGTGCATAGCTTGTACTGCTAACATTTGGATTAAACAGTTGCATTGGAAAGAGACAGATTTTTCCTTAGGCACGTATTGAAGGCCCTTAATAACAGGGCTGCTTTAAATGTTACATTGACAGGGGATAACAGTACCTAACAAGTTCAACTATTTGAAAATCGCCAAAAGAGCTGCTGCAAAAATAAAAAGTATCGCACATCACAAGAAAATAAGCAATAATTAAGGCGTTAAGCCTTGCCACCTTTTTGCAATACTGCCTGCAGCCAGCCAGTCGGAGTGCTGGTATTTAAATGCTCTCAGCTTACGGTCACACTGTCAACAGGAAAAACGCGAACGCGTATCAAAAAAATAATTTTATAATTTTATTTAATTTATTAGTTCTTAGCGATAAATCAGCAGAACGCTAGAGTCTCGGACTTCATAGGCATAACAAATATGGGCAGTGCGCTGGAAAACTATGTGAATCAGGTGCGCACACTAAGCGCAGCGGGTAAGTGTTCCAGGCGCCGGGCAAACAAAACGAATAAATTCGCACGGAATTTGTTTTTGTTTGACTATTATTTATTGTTTAATGCAGGCAGCTACCGGGAGCTGGCCGATGAGTTGCCCGAATCGCTGTCGCTGCTGGTGCGCAACTGGAGCATATTGGACAATGTGCTCGAAACGCTAGACATGCAACAGCACACGCTGGGCGTGCTCTATGTGCTGCTCGGCAAACTGCACAGCGCGGCGACCGCCAATCCGGAGCCGGTACAAATCATCCAATTGATGCGCGAATTTGTGCAGCGCAGCAATGTGGAGCAGCTACGCTTTGCCGTCTGTCCCTGTAAGTGTAGCATGGACATTTATTTCCCTGCTTTGCCAGTTTGTCAATTTGTCTCTTATTCTGCTGCATGAACAGTTTACGAGACTTGTCATTTGTTTACGGACTTTCTGGTGCAGAAGAACCTTAGCATTTTGGGCATTAAGGTGCTGTCGCGTGCCATTGAGCAAATTAGACAAATGGATACACAGCTAACGCCCATACACGCCGATCTCTGCCAGCTGAGCCTTAAGGCAAAAAACTTTAATCTGATACTGCCCTATCTGGATACGGACATAACAGACATCTCCACCGTTGCCGCCGAGTGCAAAAATCAGCAACAACAGCAGCCGCAGCATACGCTGGTACGACATTGTTTCGTATCGTTAATCCTGATCCATTCACATGCTCATCTCGTTTGCTTCTCTTCGCAGGATGCCAACAACGATGCCAAGTACTTTTTGTTGTACTATTATTATGGCGGCATGATCTATACGGCAATCAAGAACTATGAGCGCGCCTTGTATTTCTTTGAGGTGTGCATCACCACGCCCGCCATGGCCATGTCGCACATCATGCTGGAGGCATACAAAAAGTTTCTCATGGTTTCACTGATTGTCGAGGGCAAGGTGCGACAATCTGACAATTTAAAGAGCTGCTCCATCAACTAATTTCTTGATTCCCGTGCAGATATCGTATATACCAAAGAACGCACAGGTCATTGGGCGTTTTATGAAGCCGCTGGCCAACTATTATCATGATCTGGTCAATGTGTATGAGAACTCGTCGAGCGAGGAGCTGCGCATTATTATACTCAAATACAGTGAAGCATTTACGCGTGATAACAACATGGGCCTGGCCAAGCAGGTGGCGACGTCCCTCTACAAACGTAACATACAGCGTCTGACGAAAACCTTTCTCACGCTCTCCCTGAGCGACGTAGCCAGCCGTGTCCAGCTGCCCAGTGCCGTTGAAGCGGAGCGCTATATATTGAACATGGTTTGTTTGCGGCTATATTTTAAATTCTCTTAATTATTCTAAACTTAATGCTTTGCAAACAGATCAAGTCGGGCGAAATCTTTGCGAGCATCAATCAGAAAGATGGCATGGTGCTGTTCAAGGATGATCCAGAGCAATACAATTTGCCGGACATGTTTCTAAATGTGCAAACGAATATAACGCAGGTGCTCGATTTGGTGAAACAAATCAACAAAATGGAAGAGGAGATCATATTGAATCCCATGGTAATAACCAAATCAAATATATGTTCTAAATGAATTTCTAAACAATTTCTGTTCCAACTAATGCAGTATGTGAAAAAGGCGCTGGGCAGTCAGGACGAGGACTTGGCGTCACAGCACCCCAAGACCTACTCGGGGTAAGAATCAAAGCAAGCAAGCAAACAAAAACCCAAACAAATCAAGAAACAAGCAACCAATCAACCAATTCAATTCCATTGACAGCGATCCCACGGATTGATATGCCAGCACACAAAAAGCAAAACGAGCAGCCGCAGCAGCCGACTCTAAAGAAAAGCGTGCACTGGGCCACAAACTGCTATGGAGGAAAAAGAAAGAAAGAAAGAAAGAAATTATAGATGAAACACGCTATTTTAAATAAAACCTATGTATAAATCAATGACTAACGGGGCATTTTAATCAATGCCTTCAATTATTATTGATGACATGCCATGCCCACAGATAACCAAGGCGCAATCATCATGATAACGAGGCTTTACGGCGATCATGCGATACAGAAATTGCTTTGCACTTGGCCAGGGCTTCACTTGGTCTAAAATTACCCATTTGTATTTAACAATTTGTTTTTTATTTGTATTTACAATATCAATGTCGGACATAAGACGTTTTAACTAACCCACAACAATATGGGCTATACGCTATGGCTAATTAAATGACTAGACTGTCTGACACAAACCCGCCCCGTCATCTGGAATATATATATATATGTGTATAAGTACTAGTTTATGGCTAGGCTAAAATGCTATTATTTTTATAAACAGTGGCTTTATGTACAATGTTGCAGCTGCTCTGAACCACAAGCCACAGCAGCGTTGTTGTTGTCGCTTTCGCTGTTGCTGTTGAGATTCTTGCCAAGCAGCGTTGTTGTTGTTGCTCCAGCTAACCGGTTTTCATCACATCCACTTCCAGCATAGCTGTCTTCAGCGAGCTGCTCGACACGCCCACACCAACATCAGCGCCCATGCCGCGATAGAGCTTATGGACCACATTGAATAGTATAAAGCAGACAATCAGCACCAGCAGCGACATAAATACGTAGGCCAGCACCAGAGGTGTATCCGATATGGGATCCAGCATTATGTTTTTGTAACAGTTTCAATAAGTTGTACTTGTTATAATTGTATTGTTGTATTGTTTTCTGTTCAATTCGGAGACAGCCGAAGCAGAGACAGAAAGAGTATGTGAGAGTGCGTCGAACCGAAACAGAACTGAAGTGAAACGCGTATGCTAATTAAATGTCCCACACAAATACATACATATATATATATATGTATATGTATATGTATGTGTATATATATCTAGATGGCGACTTTCCGTACCGTATGCATTGACACCTGTGCCTGAACTGAGGCCAGACACTGGCGTGCCGCGACTCGACTTCAAATAGAACTTTGTTGTTACGTATACGCCGCGTAGCCCTCGTTCGCTCTATGATAAGCATTCTGTTGAAACTCGTTTATTGGCTTCTCCAATATGAGAGGCCAGGCCGCCTGCCACATTAACCAGGGTCAGGTCGAAGTGGTTTGCATCCAAGCACACGACTCTGTGCACATTGTATTATAAAAATATTGAAAATATATATATAGTTGAGAGCAGAGTGCTCGAAGTGCAGATACTCTATGCCCAGGTCCAAAATCGAATAGTTGTTTTAATTAAGTCTATGCAAATGTGCTGAGTCAGCTCGAATACGAGAGATACTCTCTTTACTGGTCCAAAGTGCCCCCGATCTGGCGGAAAGTATATATATATATATATATATATGCACAAATTTCAATTTGTAAATGCAGCACGAGTATTTATAGAAAAAGCTATTTAAAATTCGGCATACGACGATTCGGATGACGAAAAATATGTATAAGTGCAGTACCATAATTAAAACCACAAGAAAAAATAACAGCTACGCGGGGGATGTCGAAGCTTAGATACCCTAACATTTGAGGAGCTGTATATATATATATCATGTGATATACATATATAATATGTATATATCGTATATTATATATATAAATATCGTATAATACAATACAATCTATATATATCATATATATTTCTATATAGTTCGATTTTGAGAAGATTTAGGACAATTGTTAGAAGCATATAAAGCCAAGTTGTGTCGAGATATATCATAAAAACAATTTTTATGTACGAACATAATATAGTCTATCCTAAAGTTGACACGATGCGAACGTAGTCTTCCAACTTTATAAATCTCAAGGGTTTTAAGCAACTGGAAATCAAATTATATATCTGCAAGCTCTTCCAATCGTCGAGTTCCATCAGAGAGATCATCTAAACAGCTGATGCTGATCAAAGATATATACGTATATAATTAAGAGTAAACCTATTGATAAAGCCCATTATTACCCAACATCATAATACCCCATTTGCGGCTCTACGCTAGCTACAGGGTATGCGTATAGCGAACATTCATTGAATGCCAAACATATTCATTGATTCAGCCAATCAAGCAATTAAATCTACGTCGCTTTTGTTTCTGCTTTATTAAATGAGCAGAGTATAAAAATGCCAACTGACAAAAAAATTGGAATAGCGTCGAACAAAATTAGCGGCTTGTGCCGAACTAATTGCCCGACGGGCGGGGGAGTCGTCGTCGTCGTCGTCGCCAACGTGATTCGACCAAATGCTCGACTCTTATCTGGGCGACTGATAAAAATGTTTAGTAAATTAGATAAGGCATGGAATTTTTGTCCGAGTTGTGCCTATAAAATGTAACGTACGATTGTCATGCAGGAATTTTTCTTTTAATGTTTCCCAGTTAATAGAAAATGTATTTTCTAAAAAAAAATTACGAGAGCAGGGCACATTTTCTTGTGCACACAAAAAGCGAGACGCTGAATCGAACCACCGAAGACAAGACGCTGGCTCGAACCACTGTAAAAACGATTGCCGCCTCTGGACTTTGCGTTAACAATTGAACCTGTTTAACGGGTGGCAAGACCAGAAGCCATGCCTGGAATATTTTTTTTCATTTACAACAACACACAATATATAGAGAAAACGAGTTCTACAAAAATAAAGTCCCAATTATAAGTACATGCGAACCACTGTGCAGCTCCGACTGTCTGTTTCTCTTCCCCTCTCTCTCTCTCACTCTCACTCTCTCGTTAGTCGCCTTTATCTGGGCGTGGGGCAAGCGGACGCATTGTCCGAGCAGCGTGCCTCCATGACATCCTTGATGACATCGTCCAGCACAAGCCGCATATTCTTGCGCTCATTGCAGCGCAACAGCACCTTGAGCCGCGGCACACTGGCCAGATCATCGTAATACTTGAGCACACGGACATTGCTCACGGCCTGGGCGTCCATCATGGTGCACTTGGTCTCGCTGTCGCTGCAATTGCACAAGCAGCTGATCGCCCGTTGGTTCGGATCCGAGTAGATGTCCAGCGCGACGCTGATCAGAAAGCACGGCTCCAGGGTCAACGTGATGCGCACTGCGTGGCAGCCAATTGAGCGACGCCTGAACTGGTATATATATATACAGCTACTTACCCAACGGCGACTCGAAGATTGTTGAACGATTCTGTATCCACACGGAGCGCGAGCTCAACTGATTGCCAACATGTTCCAGGCGCGAGAAGTCACGGGAATGTTCACGTAATGCCACCGAGGATCGGGAGCCAGGCGCTGCCGGCAACGGCAGATTATCATAGATGGATATATAGATCTTATGGCTGACATAGGCCACGATGAAGAACAGTATGATCAGTATGAGCAGGAACACAATGTAGGTGAATAGTGTGGGTAACCAAATGATGGCGTCCAGCAACATTAGAACAGAGGGCTGCTTGGGTTCTCGTTACAACAAATATTTAAGTGAAATCTGTATACCCTTGAATAGGGTATCATACTTTTGTCACGAGACGTTCGAACCCTAGTTAGTGTATGTAATCCTCACCAGAAACAACAGTCTGTAGTCGGTATAAGCATGTTCCATGCAACCTGCTCTTCTCTGTTATAGAGCTTTCATCAGGCTCATAGAAATCTCATAGGATTGATTTGTCAAAAATGAAGTTGCCGCACAAAAAGCCACATTTTTCTCATGATCTCTCTGTACCAACGTTAGCCTATACAAGTCTCGGCCTGCTACTAAGATGTGAACAAAATCTTAAGCTATGTATACAATTTCGAATAGGATATAAAGCCTTTCAATAAAGGCATTTCAAGATTATTTACATTTCGATTATATGATATAGGGGAAAAAAAGGGGGCTGTTTACAAAAGGGGCAAACCCTCACGTACAATCCCCTTGAATATCGCATTGTTTTTGCAACATCTATGTAAATGTATTTATTACTGCTTTTTGTTTTAGCTCGTTTGTTGTTAGCTTTCTTTTTTTTTTGTTTTGTTTTTGTTTGTTTTTTTCTCTTTATAGTACATACGATTTTACATTGATAATATTTTTTATTTGAAATTGTATGCGCTCTCTCGCTTTCGCTTAAGCGTAACACGTAACGGCTCTCAAATTGCAATTTCATAGCATTTAGCTTTTGTTAGCTCGCTTCGCACTCTTTAGTCTAACCCGCCGGCGGGTATACTCGCACGCGCTCTCTGCGCGGGGGCGTGGCTTGCACACTGCGCAAACCGTCTAAAAACAAACGAATCCCTAGCGCTTGAGCCAGCTGCAGCTGTGTGTGTAGTGTGTGTGTGTGTGTGTGTACTTTGCATACACACACACACACCTGCACACAGAACGCGCTGTGCTCAAGCCTTAGTTAAATGAATTTTTTGTTTCTTTTTTTTTTTTTTAAATTAATTTACAATTTCTTGTCTTGTTTAGATTTTTTTTTTGTGTGTTTTGGTGGCAGTTGTTAGAAAAATGCCATTTGGTTATGCGGCGCATGTTGAACAGAGTATAACAGTTAAAATATGTATGGTGTGCTATGTTTGTATAACAGTTTAGGGTAAGGCTAGGCAAATTGTTGTTAACAAACAATAAATGACAAACATATTATAAACACGCACGACTTTCAGTTGCTTTTTAATCAATTACAAATGTTGTGTTTCTTTTTTGATTTGATTTCAATGCGATTTTGTTAAAACAATTATTTACTAATTATATTTAAACAATTATCTGTTGCCCGCTTGCTTTAGTTTAACACAAACAAATTATGGTTTAGACTATTTGTTGATATTTTTTTTTGTTTTAACTCAGCATGCGTGTGTGTGTGTGTGTGTGTTATAGCTTAACTTTATATATAATATGTTTATGTTTTGTTTATATTTTATTTTTGTTTTTGCTGTAAAAAACATTCAGATCTCCAATGAATATTTAAATGAAATGTTTCTTATTTTGGTTTTCGCTGGCAGCATGTTCCTTTATAAAGAAATATATATATATGTATATATATGTGTGTGTGTGTGTGTGTGTGTATCAACCAGTACTCGTAGAAAAAGTGTTATATGAAATGCGATTCTATATATCTTTTGTTTTCTTTGTTTGTTTTTGCTTTTTCCATTTTCTTTTTGTTTATTTTTTTCTCTTTTTTTTTTTGGACAAGTTCTCAAAAGTTGAAAAGCTCAGTGCGACAAGTTGCGGGTGTTTTTTTTTTTTTTTTGTTAAGTTCTAGGTTTTCTTTTTTTTTTGTTTTTAATTTTTGTTGGGAACATGCCGCAACTTTTACACAAATTAACACACACATTACGCAAATACATATGTAACTTTCAGCACAACATACAGAATTCATATACGTAATTAACATATTGGTATTTTGCGCCTCTCCACCCACCCACCCCCCGCCCGCCCGCCTAACGCCCCATTTGCACGCGCCACACAGCTGAGCTCAACTCAATCTGAATTTGTTTTTTTTTTTTGTTTGAAATGGGGCTTTACATAGGTTTTTTGCTTTTATACATTTAAGTTTTGGTTTTTCTTTTTTTCCTTTTTCCTTTTTTTAATTTGTTTTGTTTTAGTTTTAAGTTTAGTTTGCTTTGTGGTTGTTGTTTGTTGTTGTTCTTGGCATGCGAGCTACGTTGTTGTTGTTCTTCTTCTTGTTGCTGTGGTGTGTGTGCTTTTTGTTGTTGTTGTTGTTGTTGCTGCTGTCGGCTTAGACAGACAGTGAAACGAAACTGTTATACTGCGTTATATTGCGCTTCAGAATATCCGCGCAGGGGCCCAAAACGCGCTCGAATCTGCGTTAATAAAACAAATTAATGAGATAATTAACATATATATATATATAAATCATATCCAAGTGTGGCAGGTATTGTCGAGCTTTAACCGAGTCAGTTGATTTAGGCTGTAAGTTTTTCACCCATTTTCCGCTTGCGAATCAGTTTTTAATGTATGTTTCTTTCCTTGTATGTGTTTCTTTATAAAGAAATTCTGCTTAAAATTCTCTTCGTCACTCAGAGGCATAGATTTTCAAGAATCAAGCGTCTTTACGCTTTCTTTCCGAAGAATTTTCCACAAAATCCACAAATCCACAAAAATAACACTTTTTCCTTGAACACAATCTTCAACTACCACTTTTTACACCTAGTGTCTATAGGATTTTCACAAAGGTCCTTACAAATGATTATGAGTCCTACATCATGTAGTTTTCCAACAGTTTTCCTCTCTTCCGTTAGGAATTTCCCTCTCAGCTTCTTTCTAGCTCTAACGTGTTGGGCTATACGTTCCTCATCAATCCGTCAGTCAATCAGTTTGTCAATCAGTCGGAATGCACAGTCTTACCTCGCTCTGTCCAGCTTGACACATTTGAGCGGGCCGCGTGCCACAACAGTTGCCGCACGTGGCCGATCCAGAAGCAGAGCAATCTCGCCAAAGTAATCGCTGGAGCCCAGGCGACCCACCTCGGCGGGCTCTTCGCCCTGCTAGAATACAGACAATGTATTAAAGTTTTGTTTTTCATTTATATATATAAATATTTTTCGTCTTTCTCACCTCGGAGCGCTGCTGAAGGACAACGGCACAGCCCTCGAGAATAATGTAAAAGTCATCGCCAGCCGCGCCCTGTTTCACAATTGTCTCGCCATCCTCAAAGGAGCAGGTCTCCAGCGAATCGGCGACGGTTAGGCGCTCCCACTTGTCGAGGCTCTCCAGTATGGAGACACGCGACAGGAACTCCTCATACATTTTGCGCTTACGTATGGTCGAGCCCATTAGGATGCGTCTGTAGGAGTCGCGATCGATGCCCCACAGCTTCACATCGCTCTTGGCGCGCACCGTGGCGGCGCGTGGTGTGCCATAGATGAGGGCCAGCTCACCGAAGCTGCCGCCCTCACTAATGGTGGTCACCAGTTCAGAGTTGACAAAAACCTGTAAAGTTCAGGGATTGTTGTTGTAAATAGAAGCATTCTCTGTCAGGAAGTGCTCAGTTTGGCTACTCACGTCCACCTCACCCACATCGATGACATAGAAATTGTCGCCCTCGTCGCCCTGCTGTATGATATTCTCGCCCGCCGTATGGGTGACAGGAAACATGGCGTCGAATATGTCAGAGCGTTCGCTCTCATCCAGATGAGCGAAGAGCACATTTTTGGCTATGGCCTTGGACAGGGCATTCATTGTCTTGTAATCCTTCGGTACGACCTTCTTAACATAGTTGGCGGCGTCCTCTTCGGTCACGGGCTCGGCGGAGATGCCGCCGCGCCTGCGAACGGGCGGTGCAGCTGTTTGTGGCATTGGACTGAGATCCTCACAATCGTCTGGGCTGATAACCTGTTTGCTGGCATCCAGTTTGACTTGTTCCTGCGATCCGATGATTGCATTTTTATTAGTATAACAGTTTTGTATAGCAGTATCACCATTTGTATAACATTACAATAGTTTGTAGAACAGTTAATATACAATTTTCTTGGTTTATTAACTTAAACAAAATTATAACACTGTATACAATAGCATAGGGGTTGGTACACAGTAGTATAACAGTTGGTATAACAAAGCAGCGGGTTTTACAAAGCAGCGGGTTTTCATAGGCAGAATGGTCATTAGATTTGATTGTAATTTCATTAATATAACACTTTTGTATAGCAGCATCACCATTTAGCACTTAATTATAACTGTTTAATCAAGAATATAACTGTTTGTAGAACAGTTTTTACAAAACTGTATTAGTTTATCAACTTCATTTAAGATTATTGATTCTAAAAAAGTATAGCAGTGTATACAAGAGCATAGGGGTTTGTTTGCATCAGTATAACAGTTGGTATATCAGCGCAACGGGTTTTTCATAATAAGCAATTTATATGATAAGCCAACATTCAACGCCTGCACACGCAAAACGGTCATTAAAACCGCAATAGAAGCTTTTTTTTTTGCACTCAACCACGCCCTGGACGCCCGCCCACCAACAGCTGCACCACCAGCAACAGCAACTCCGGCAATGTGCGTCATCTGGGATGGATGATGCTGACTTTTGCTGCTGTATACATATGTCAAAAGTCAGCTCTACACGTAGGCGGTAACTAAAGCTTCACCATTGCTTCAGCTGCCCGTTTATCTATTTTTGGCAGCTCAAAGTTCGTTTCGGGACGACAAATAGAAAACAGCAGAAAAGTAAAAAAAAACAACACGCAACTGTTTAAGCTCGTCCGCGTTCACGGTCCGCACTGCCCCGGCCAACAGCTGCAGCTAGTAAATTGCATTTGTGAATTGCACTCGAAAAAAAAACGTAATGCCCATCTCGATAGCTTTTAATAACCTTCTGACTGCTGGTGACGTCAATCTGAATAAACTTGCCACAACTGGTTGCACAGCGAATAGATTGAGTTGCATTTAAATGTCACTCGAGAGTATTTAGCTTTGGAATAGCATTTGCGACTGCCGTAGCACAGTTTAGGCGACAACAAGGGGCAATAATTGTTATACAAGCATTATGTGTGTTATAAATATGTTGATTTGTATAACAGCAGTTATCTATCAGACTTGAGTATAACAGTGAAGCAGTTAAATAAAATGGAAAGTTATGTTATAAAGTTCTGTATAACAGTATAACAGCTAAGGACAAATATAAGAGTTTGAATCACACGTAACGCAAATGAGAGCAGGGTTTAGTGATACTACAGTTATGTATGACAGTTGAGTATAACAGTGTAACACTTGTGCGCATTCCTTAAACTGGACAGTCTGAAGAGCTCCGTATAACAGCTGTATAGAACGGTATGCCAGTTGCAGGGTACTTAGGGTTAAAATTGACTGTAATAAGTGTTTGATAACAATTGTATAACAGTTGAAATGCATTAAACTGTTATACAACACTTGTAACAACCTTGCTTACAGCACTCAACTACAAATAGGTGCTTATAAAGAAGTAATTGGCTGGCTATAACAGTTATTTAAGGCCTGATATAACATTTAGCATCCACTTGGCCCTCTTTACAAGTTGTTTATACCAGTTTAGCTTATCAGAATGTAGTGTAGTTTAGCCGAGCCCCACCCAATCTACTCAAAATAAACAAAGCCATTTCGATGTCAATAAACAGCCGGCAAGAAAACACAAAATGGCCAAAATGAATCAACTTTTATGTTCTAAACAAAAGGCGTTTGAAAAATCACATAAAAATCACATGAAAAAGCCACGAATCTAATCAATTTGTAGTGTAAACAAAGCGCGATTGGAAAGCGAACTGCCAGAAAATTGTTTGATGATCATGGAATGGCGCTGATAAGGATGTTGTTTTAGGCCAAGAAAAAACGAAAGACATCAGCAAATATGAACGACTGCCAAATACTCTGTTAACAAAGTATTCAAGCAAGTCGCGGAAAGTTTTCTTCTTCGATTTGAAGAGCTTTATGAAACGCTGCAAGTCTTAAGCTTGCTGCCGCTCAGCCACATGAACATGGCACAGAACTGATATGCTCTTTTTTGTCATTCTGAACAGGGTTTGGGCCGCTTGCCAGCTGAGATGTCTGAGGTGTCACAGGCGCCGCCCCGTCAGCAGCTGCAGCCGAATAAATCAATCAACACGCGACTCGCATACAAATGCCACAAAATGAGGCACATTATCAAAAGCCGCAAAGCTGACAAGTCAAAGTCGCCTGTTGACTCCAACTCGCTCGCTCGCTCTCTCTCTCACTCTATTCAACCCGCTCGTATAAAAAACTATCTGCAACTTTGTTTATGGCCAGGGCCCTGTCTAGGAGGTGGGCCTGGGCCAGTGCCAGGGCCGGGCCCACACGGCGTATGACCGTGACCTTTTGTGCAGCAGCGGAGTCGGCGCCCAGCCAACTAGCCCTGGCCCTGGCCATGGCCCTGAAGCTTCACAGTTGCAGGCCCCACTCTCTCCATTTAGCCAGTCCTCGCTCTACCTCCCTCTGTTGGTCTTTGCAATTTCCATTTGCGCGTCGCTTATTTTTCAGCTTTTGGCGACATTTTAAACGGAAATCGATTTCGTATTGCAAATTAAGTTACTGACGCAAACTAAATTGCCAATGTGTGTGTGTGTGTGCGTGTGTGTTTGGGCATGATTGGGGGTGTAATCTAGACAAACGTCTCATTTGAAAAAAGAGAGCCCTATCAATACGTCAGGTGAGTATGGACAACACATTTGCCAGCTGATTAAATGAATTGGCAGGTAGATTGTAAACTGGACATGGACTCGTTAAACAAGCGACAATCATTTGTAACAATTGCTGCAGGCAGCCAATGCACTGAGAGAAAATAGTGTACGAAATGGAAACGCTTTTTTCAACTGGCTTTTCTGTCGATTAGTTTCTAAGGGATCTAGCATAAAGTTAAAGGTAGAGATTATTTCTATAACTATTTCTATAACTATGCCCAGAATATTCCCTCTGGCATGCTTGTAAATAATAAGCTAGATTGTATTTTCAAGTATTTTTAGGCTATATTCAAACCCGTAAGACAAATTTGAAGACTTTAGCTCCAATAGAAGCTGAGTTCTAAGAGGCAAGTCCTGCTCTGCTAATCCAAAATGATTCAAAGATTCATAAAATCCAAACACAAAAGAGAAATTTGCAGACTTTAGCCATAAGAGTTCTGCGACTCCTAAGAGTCTACCTCTGCTGAACTACAATCTATTCAATGATTCATAAAATTTCATGAAGTAAAAACTTACAAAATGAAGTCTTTTAATATGCCAACTAGAGAAGCGACAATTCCAATTAGATTCAAGTTGTTTTAATGGCCTAAAACTGTGATTTGTTTGGTTTGAGCACGTTCCCAACTTTTTTTCTAGCCGTGTACAATAAATCAATGCCAATGTGCCATAAAAGAAACATTTAACGAGGCGATAACAACAACAAATGCGTGACTATTTCAGCATTTCAGCTTGTGAAGTGCTTGAAAAAGTCGTTGGTGCATCTATCTCAAAGAATTTTGTATTGAAAATGATGGCAATAAAAATCGTGTGAATGCGTAACGAATGAGGCTGGCTGAAGTGTGAATGCCATGAATGCTTATTCAATAATAATAATATGAAAAAAAAAACTACAAGCTGAGTGCAACTAAGAGACTTAAAGAGCAGCTGGGCTTAGGCTTAAGAGACGTAAGAATTTGCAAACCTTTGACATAATTTTTTTTCTAGCTTTCAGCAGCTACAGATGTGTGTGTGTGTGTGTGTGCCTGTGTGTGTGTGTGTGTGTAGTTGCAACAAGTGCTGTTTATGGAGAGACAAAAAATGGCAAATAAACAACAACAATAATCAGATGAATACGCGACGCGACAACGTGAGAAGCAAACAAACAACGAGGCACAAATAAATTCCACTTTGGATTTAATTTTCTATTTTTTCTATATTTTTTCTATAATATATTCTTCTCAGAGTTTGTCTCTGTGCACAGTTTTCCACTAATGTTAATTTTCACAAGTTTTCGTTGTTTAAAGACGGCACAACATGGCAAAAAAAAAAACAAATAAGAATATGAGATAAAATATATTACGTATACGTAATAACGCATAACAACAACAACAACAACAAACAGCAATGACAAATCCAATGTCAAAGTTTTATAAAAATAAATATTCGAAAAATATTTTGTAGCCCAGCGCGCAAAAAAAAAGTCACACACATAAATTTCTCAAATTAAAAGGTGAGCGAACATTTATAAAATAAAAGAAATATATGAAATGAATTATTCGATAAGAAATATATATATATATATATATATTGTATATATATGCGGGCTATTCAGATTTGAGATATGTGCATATTTAATGCTCTGTTTATGAGCAGAATTTTTCGATTTTTAGTTTTAATTGGCGCAATATGAAAGCGAATTATATAAAAATATCTAAATTTATATATATAGAATATATCTGGCTGTATTTCTATATTTATTTGACGCGTGCGTCACACAATTTGCAGCCTATTTAATTTTCATTGAATTTTTACTAGAATTTTCATTTAATTTAATTCTCATTTACAGTTTTTGTTTTTTTTTGCTTGTTGTGCCGTTTTTAATTGTCTAATTAATCCAATTGCAGGCGCACTTCACACTGCATATAAATATGGACATATATGTGTGTAGGTAGACGTGTGTGCGTGTGTGTGTGTGTGTGCGTGTGTGTGTGTCTACCCGCTGTTTTTTCCGCACTCTCGACTTGTCGGCTTTTTCTTTCGTGTTATTTACAAAACGGAGGCGCGACACAAACTGAAAACTGAAAACTGAAAAACTGAATTCCAATTCGCTTTCAGCTTGGCAGCAGACGCCGACGCCGGCAGCGACGTCAACTTCAACGCAGCCAGCATGCCTCTTGTATGATTATTACCGTTAAGTACAGTGGGTTATGTGTGCGCGCGACCCAACATGTCTGTGGTTTTGCGATAGACACCGCATAAAATCGCGTACAAAACAAATCAAAAATTTTGTATTCGAGTGTAACCGACTAGCCAATACACTGTATGTAATGTAAAGCCAGCCTAAAGATCGATAAAGCTTGGCTCAGTGACTCTTAGACTGTAAGTTCATTTCAAACTGTGGACAATTTATGTATCAATTTCTTTTAGATATGTGGATTCAGCTGGGGGTGCGACGATTGCTTTCTGATTGCTGTTGGTGACTCTCAAACTGTAGAAAGCTTTCAAACTGTGAACAGGACCTAACACGTCTGTGCTTGTGCGACAGAGACAGCTGTTTATAGCGTAACCCCAGCCTAAAGATAAGTTGAAAACGCTTGGCTCAGTGACTCTTAGACTGTGAGCCCCAGGCAGTTCCTCTCAAACTGTATAAATTTATAAACAATTCCGTTGTGGGTAGGGCAATTCTTTTTTGAATGGTCTGGCTGACTCTCAAACTGTAAAAGGCTTTCAAACTGTGATCTTTGATCTCTGATCTGCCTAATTGATGTATCTGTCAAACTGTAATGTCAATAAATATCCCTAATTAGCCTGCCTTCTTATGGTCAGTACCAAAAACTTTCGTATCAAACACATACAGACAAGTAAAGACAGAGGACGCGTAGATTTCTCAAAGCCAATATACTCTCTTCACCATGCGAACAGGGCATACAAATTACTTAGTGCGTGTGCGGGTGCTCATGCACTGCTCGAAAACGGGCAGCACTTGCAGCGAACACAAAATCAATTTCATAAACAACACAACAACAATTCGAATTTGTTCAAGCAATTCAAGACAATTAAACATAATTCTTCAATAAATTCAATCAACAAATTTTGGACAGTGTAGCGCACAGCAAAAATCTAAAAACAAAAATACACATGCTCAACAACTAAAATGAGCGAAACATTAATAAACCAGCAACAACAACAACAACAACAATGACAAAATGATGGCCACAAAGTGTAGCCAAGAAATTGTTTGGCCCATAAGACTTGAGGTGTGTTGCGGCAGGCGAGGGGCGAGGGGCTTGCGGCTTGGAACTTTGGCCACTTGTCGGTTGTTTTTGTGCCGCAAAGCAAATGGAAAAAAGGTAAAACAAATCAATTCGAGGCAAAGCCAAAGCCGGGACACAAGAGATATACAGTGAGAGAGCGAGAGGTAGAGGGGGGGTCGAGAGAAAGACAAGGCTAAGAGCAGAGAATTGTGGGCGATTTACGAATATTTGCCTAAGCTCAACCCACACAACAAAAAATAAAGAAAGACATTAAAGAATGAATATCTGCGGCATGCCGAACATAAGATGCCCTTATAGAGACATGGCATAGAAGGGCCTAAATACCTAATATTTATTTAACAACAGATATTCGTATGCAAGCTATATAATATAGAAGTACAATTTGATAAAGTTTTGCCAAAACCTGTCTTCAATCTCTATATATATATAGAGACTCTATCGATATTAAATTTATTTTCTTATCGATGACTAGGATGATCTTATCCTATTACAATATCTCGAAAAAAAGAAAAGTTTCCGTAGGATTTTTAAGATTTTTGTTGATTTTTATACAAGAGCTTGTTTTCATCCCGATCTTTAACCAAGATATAGTGATTCGATTCGTGCAAAGTTGCATCATCTCAGCTGAGAGACTAGTTTCGAGGCAGGTGGACATATCGGGTATATTGCCTCCGCTCTCGCTATTCCCAAGTTTCTTACTTCATGACCTAACTATAATACCCTCGACAAGGCTATGAAAACAATAATAATTACATACTCGAACCAAAGTACAATCAAAATATTGTGACTGTGTGGAATTTATAATTTCGTTTGGCCATATAAAAATATGTTTGTCTGACATATAGGAACATAATATAATTACGCACATATATATATATTATATAATTATGATTTATTATAATTACGTTTGCGACTTTATGATTTCTTCGTGCACCACGTGACGTATGCGCAATGTAAATACGAATGCGAATGAGCCAAACACACAGAACGAGACTGTGCCAAACATGCGATGCGAACAAAGAAATAGACAGTAGACGAGGATGTGGCTTGCGGTGAGAGCTGAGCTGAGGTGGGGTGAGGTGTGGCATGCGGTAAGAATGAGAGTGGAAAATAAGCGTGTGGTAAAGTGTGCCTATGTGTGTGTGAGGGGGCGGCGAGCTATAGTCTCTCTATAGAAAATAAAGACCTTGCCGAGGCCAGCGAGTCTAGCGTCAGGTGAGGCTCAAGTGTGTGCCAGGTCATGACTAAGTGCGTCATTGGAGAGAGATAGATTATGAGAGGGCGAAACAAAGACAGAAATAGAGTAAAAACAATGAGACATAGGCTATTCTATACTTCGAAATGCGACATATGCCTTTTGCCGATTCTTAAAAGCGATATTTGAGATCGATTTCTGAGTTAGGAAAAAAAAGGCAGCGAGAGAAAGAGAGAATAACACGATAAGATATAATAACGAATACACCTCTTAGTAAATTTCATAAGCCATAGCTTCTCTTAAGTTCTATAAAGTTAAGATAAAAGGACAGAGAAAGGGGTTGACATAAAGTGCGTAATGTGGTAAATGCCCTTCTCGGCGATTCTCATAAGCAATCACTTAGCTTATTATCTAAGAGCTATAGCTCAGCTCAAGCTCTATAATGGAAAGATAAAAAAGAAAAGAAATGGGCTGACATAATGTGCTGTATGTAGTAAATGCCCTCTTGGCGATTCTCATAAGCAATCACTTAGTCTAAGAGAGGGGACAGGGAGAGGGAAGAGAGAGAGAAAACAAAGACAAAGCCCTGAAGCAGAGAGAACCATAAATGACAAGTTAGATATGCGGCAAATGCAGTTCACAATGCGATTCACATAATCAATACCCAAGTCTGATAAATATCTCATTCCATTCGCAAGCTAAGGCTTCAAGGCAATGCTATTCTTAAACGGATAAGCATTAAAACCAGCTAAATGCTAATTTATTTTACTAATTATGTCATTTGGGCATATCCTAACCAAAATAAGTAACGTCTTCTGTGGCCCATTTCAAGCCAACAATTTAGCTCAAAAGATATTTTTAAAGCCAAATTAAATAATAATCGCCGCTGCCATGCCACAGATTGGATTTAATGTGGGTCACAGAGCCGCTGTAAAAGTTTTTCAAGGCACGGGCTTTGAATTTCGAGCTACCTTTAGCCGTGTTTTTTGGGTGGGTTGGAAAGTGGCCTTAACTTAGCACAAACTGCGGAAAAGCTTTTTGTCTGCCTGTGTGTGTGTGTGTGTGTGTGTGAATGCGTTTTATAATCGAATTAATTAAAATTTTACACACTGCCTCCGGCGGCAAACTCCGCTCAACCAGTCCAGAGTGTAATGTTGTACTGGGAGAAAAACTTCAGCTTTCCACATTAGGGAAAACTTTAGAAATCTTCACTTTAGTTTGAGGGATATATTTTGTAGGAATAACATACGTACTTACTCCTACACTGACTGCACATTATATGTGCTACTTTTTTTTTTACAATTTACTAATTTGTTTTTCTCAGTGCATAAATTTAGCGAACTGCCCGCATTCTGCAGTTTCCGTTCGCATCACCTATTCCGGGCTCCTGCTTTGTTAAGCGAAATTTCCAATTCAGTGAACTTTTTGTTACCAGCTGCACAGCCCCACAGCCGTCCCTGGCACGCCCCCTTTTCTACTTTATGGAACTGGTAGCATCCCCTTGCCTAGCCTCCAACCCCCCAACTTCCCCCACCTACTGTCTAGCTGTATGTGTCAGCTAAACAAAAGCTTTTGTAGCTGCTTCAAATTATTTGGACCAAATCGTCTCCATATCGAAGCTTGGATGTTTGTCTACCGATTGACAACTTGGTCAACTTGGTGTCCTGCGTAGTCGTCACAGTACTCAGCAGTAATTGGTGCTGACGTCACAGAACCGATAAATTGTGGCATTATTACTATTGATGTTTATATATATATGTACTATAAATATACACTCAGAGAAAAAGAACGACAAAACATGTCCTAAGATTTCCGTGAGCCCAAAATTTCCAAAGAGAAGACAGAAAAACAGAACTCTGTCAAATTTATAACTAACTTAAAGTGTACTTAATACTTAATCCAAGCGTGGATTAAAGATACTTCAACAACAAAATGTACCCCAGAACAACACAGTTTGAAATTTATCCCAGTCCGACTAGAACTCATGTGGTTTTTCTCAGAGTGTACTCTAATATCGAATTAGCGTGCACGCTTAATGCCCGCTTAGGTTCGCTAGCAGCCAACAGCTCTTCAGGGAGTGCATATTACGTATACGCCGCATATGACGTTAACATTGTGCCCGCTCACAGATGACATTGTCCTGGGCCCCGTGTTCCAGCTCAGCTGTTGCTTCGCATAGAGTCTGTCGTGCTGTTTCATTTATTGCCTAAATAATTCATGAATTTCCGTCCACTTTGGTCCGCTTTGGTTTGCTTGTTAACGGCGCTTATAAGCCGCTTAATGGATGGCCAAACAAAAGGTCGCCGCATCCGATGCTTAAAACGATACCTTCACAGATTGCCCTATAACCTTTAGCTCAAAATAATGTGTGTGTGTGGATGAGGATACAATATCTTAACATAAAACTTTTACAATAATGGCCAAGAACTCCAAAAAACATATGGAAAATACCATAAGAGAGAGAGAGTAGCCACGATGGGCAGCTAAAGACACAGATACTTGGGAGGGTTTGGAATAAAATAAACACATTTTAGAAAGACAGCACAAAAAAAAGTTATGTATGACATTGGAATTCATAGGAATTCTTAAGAGCCTTAAGTACAACAATCTTAAAATTCAATAACAAGGATATTTTCATTATGGGCGCTGAGAATTAAATATCCCTGCAGACTTAACATACTCCAAAGCTCAGCCATATATTATTCTTTTCCAAAAAGAACACAATTATCAACTGGCCTTTGCTATTCAAGTTATATAATATAGTAATCGGATATATCGAGAATTTGATCATTAATAATTTCCTTTAAAAAGCTTAATTAAAGGCATTTCTGTCTTAAAGCTTTCATCTGAACATTTTGGCTGCATTTAATTGTCAAGCTTTTTAGGTGCGAAAATTACTTGGAAAATAAATATTATATATATTTATTTTAAATAAATTCACTTTATAACCCGGACTGCATTTAAGTCTCAAGCTAAGGCGCGGAAAAATATTTGATATGCTTTTAATGTCTCTTAACACTTAATCTTTACTTTAACTCTTTTGACACACAACGTTTACGACGACAACTGTACCCACCATGTTTCCTGCTTGGGAGGTGGCCATTTTCTTTTTTTTTCTGCCTTCTGCGTGTTGTGTTCTTTTTAATAGTGTGCCAAAAGACCGGTCAACAGCAACGGCAACAACAAGAATGCGATGAACCGGGCTTAACTATTTATTGGCCACACTAATCACAGGCCGGCGAAAATAAACAAGACGATGACAGCTGTCGCTAATGTTCTACTAGTTGTAACTGTAACTGTAACGGTAACTGCGTCTGTTGCGACCGTTAATTTTGTGCCATTTACTGTTCGATTTGACGATGTGAATGATGACAAGTGTCTGAAGCGTGCCATAAACGAATTCAATCAACGGGCAGCACACGCAACGCGTCAGCGAATAACCGTAGAGGACAACGGCGGCGGCACGAATAGTTAGCGCACAATATGCCAAGTAGCTGTAACTTTGAACTGTAAATATAACTGTAACAGCGCTGGAAATAGCTGCGACGACTAAGACAACGCACGAAAGCTAGCAGCAGCAGCAGCAGCAGGGACAACGATTCCAAACTGACTAACAGTAAACAGCCGTGACGACGACATGATGACCTTCACCAACACGCACAGCCCAAGGAAAGTGGCCAAAAAACGAAACTTTTCGCACGCACACACACACGCAAGCAATAACAAAGCTGGGACGCTGCTGCGACGCAAGCAGCAGCAGCAGCATCAGGCGCCTGGCAAAAGCTTCGGCAGCGACTTTGTGCTTTGATTTCATTTCGCGTTGCGTGCCGAGAGACGAGTCTTTTTTTTCTTTCAAATGCAAAATGGCCATAAACTTGCAAAAAGCTGCTCTCTCACGCAACATGGCTGTATGTGTGAGTGCCAATGTATACATATGTGTGTTCAGTTGTTCTCACAGCTGACAAAGAGTGCGAGTGAGTGAGAGCGCAATGTAAACATTAGGCGACAGTTGCCAGCTGCGCTACCATGTTATGCTACGCTCGTATGAGTGTGTGTGTGCGTGTGTGTGTGTTCCTGATAGGCAACAGAGCTTGTTGAGCGCTTTCAATACCCTTGTAGAGCGAGTGGAAACAAGTATATATGTATGTATGTGTTTATATTGCATGCTGACAAGTTTCACCGTGTTTTTTGTAGGCCACTTTGATTTTACCACTATATTATATAGTTGGAATATAATAAATGTTTTTTTTTTAAACATTCCTTTTAGATATTGAGAATATCAATTAGAAATAACCAATCATTATATCTATAACTACAAACTATTATTTAAGGCTCAACCACATCATACGCAGAATCGCGCAAAAAAGAATGAAACAAAAAAATTATTATAGACATAATATAGGGTATTTTAGCTTCGGCATGCAGAAGTTCTTGCTTTGGTGAGTTGCTTGACGTATGCGTCGCCACATATAGCAGCAGCAAGCACATCAAAGCTTTTGCTCACCCACACATTAGCAACAGCAGAGAGAGAGAGAGAGAGAGACAGAGAGAGAGATAGCAAGATAAAGAGAGCCGATGCCTCGGTCTAAAAGCTTCGAGGCTAATCATAAAAATAAAATAAACTCATGCTGCAGCTTGAATGTGTTGCAATCGAATGCGTGGGCGGGGCGGGGCGGGGCGGGCAGCATTAGCTTGCCATTACGATCGTATACAATAACAACTTACAATATCCTCCTCCGGTATGGTGGTGCAGGAGGTGCGCACATGTCGCACACGATGCATTGCATCCAGACTCAGGCGATGCTCATGATCGTCCCGCAGCATGGCATCGAATACGGCAACGCCGCCATCGATGCTGCTCTCGCGTAGAATGCGTCCGCCGCGTCCGCTGAAGCTGCCGCTGCCATGATGATGGGCCGTTGCATAGCTGACGCCCACCTCCGAAAAGGAACGTATGCGCATCGCGCCGTTCTCATCCGTGGTGAGGGCCACCGATTTAAAGCGATCGATAACCGCATCCTGAATGCTGTTCACGCTCAGCTGATTGCCCATGGCGAGTAGCGTTGCAGGCAGGACACAAGCAAAAACTCAAACAAACAACAAAACAACAGGTGAGGCAGCAGCTGCCGCGGTTGGAGCCGCACGTTCGGGCGCTTCTGCACGGCGCCAGGTTGTTTATCAAACTGAAGTCCGGCACGGGCATTCAACAGGCAACGACCAGCCAGCCAGCCAGCCAGCCAGCCAGGCAGCCAGCCAGGCGTAGAGAGCGCAGGGGTGGGAGAGAGAGAGAGAGAGAGAAGAGCTGAAGTGCGGCCACAGGTGCCGTTGCTGCACTGCACCGAGGCTAAAACTGCAGTCGCAGCAGAACTTTTCTTTCAGCAGCGGCAGCCTTTTCCAGGAACCATTATAAAGCTTTTAAGCTCGCCACGGCCAATGCAATAAGCCAATGCAAACCGCAGGACACATGCATATATATATATATATATACACACACACACATACATATATGCCGTGTGTTTATTTATGTATTGAAGCGAGAGCGAGATAATGAACCAAATGAAGCATCTCACACGCGGGTTTTTTTTGTCTCCTAAATAAGTCCACGCTGTGGTCACTGCTGACCCCAAAAATAGACCAAGAGGATTATTGATTTGAACGATTATCAAGCAAAGCGTAATCAGGTTTGAGATTTGGCATCCAACAGGAATTAGGCTCAAATTGAAAATGATAAGGAATTAAAAAAAAATGGGATCAAATACATTTAAATGCCGAAATGAAATCAGCGAAAGACTAAAAGACTCTTTGCGTGTGCGATTGTGGGTGTTTGAAAGTAATGTAGTGTTGATTAACGTTAACAGTTTTAAAAAGTTTAGGATATGAGCGTCAAAAAGGACGTCATGTTAAATGTCGAAATGTAATCAGAGCATCCAGAGTTTATATATTCCTAAAAGACATTTATTTGCGTGTGCGATTGCGTGTGTGTGTTTGTGTGTGTTAAAAGTAATGTAGTGTTGGTTAACGTTAACAGATCTAAAAAGTTGAGGATATGAATACAGCAGCAATTGGGCTGCAACTAATATATAGACTAATCAGAGCGACGTCGGTTTAGTTTGGATTTCTTGACACGCTTGGGGCGACGTGTCCAATGCAGCTTTGAGGAAATATTCGGCCTTGATTTGGCCCTCAATTTGCGCAGCCGCCCAGTAGCCTTTGTACTACGTATGGCAATCTTTTTGGGCGTCTTGGACAATAGATCTACGGCCAGCCGAGCGCCAATATAGGCACCCTATAGATACGTTTAAGATTTGTGAGACAACAATGTTGGTTAAGGCTTAAGGCAAACCTCCTCGAACATCAAACGTTCGCTGGGCTGGAGTCCCTGCCAAGCCGCCGACGCCTCACAGACCAACTGCTGCGGGGTATAGCCCCTTTTATAGCATCCAAGCCAATATTCGCGCAAGAAATTATAATAGGCACATTTGGTCACCAAAACGGGTACGGCCATGTTGAACCAAACGAAATCGAAAATCGAACCGAAAAACCCGAAAACCCGATTACGTACGTAACAATTTATTACTTTTTTGTTTTTGACAAATGTTTGCTGTTTACAGTGTTAATGCTGCTGTTGAACTGATTCCGAATCGGTTAAGGCATTGCCTGTGCCTGTTCCGTATCGAAATGAAAGCCACCTCAAGGCCTACGCTCGAGAGGAAAAAAATGGATGAAAATACGAGAAAAACCAAGAACCATCTTGTATTTGGAGATACCCGTACAGAAACATGGCTTTCGCCGAGCTGAGAGTAGAATCTTAAAGCTAGGAAATAGATATGTGTCTTGCAAATTAAAACATTTATCAGGATGCCAAACAAGGAGTAGAATACAATCGCCTAGTGACAAGTCAACGAAAACTTTCGGCAAAACAATCAGCCGAAAAGTTCTCCAAATACTTCAGTCCAAACAAAACCGAGACAAACGAAAGGAGTTGTCATTCATATTTCAAAATCAATCCAAGCTGGATCTACTGCTTGTGCCGAGCTCTCCTCAAACAAAAACAAAAGGACAAACATGCATTCAAGACTCAAGATGTTGATGTAGGTCAAGACTGTATACACTTTAGGGGTTCGGATATGCCCATTTTCTTGGCTCATTGGATGCATCCAAACATTTGGAATGGGCTAAAGGCACGCTTGCCTGGGGAAGCCAATGCGAACAACAGGGCAACATAATTTTTAAATAATAATAATATTAAAATAAAAAAAGCGTGGACTTACCCGCTCCAGTTTTTGAAAATAGTTGCGCAGGAATTGCACGGGATTGTCCGGTCGGCAGACGCACAGCTGGACGATGCAGTCTTTGAGGACGCGCTGAATGCCATGCGATTGTATATAATGTTCGCATTCGCGCAGGCTTTGCTCCTCCAAAGTCTTGGCCATCATGTAAGACATGTGTAAGTGTGTCGATGTATGTGTGCGTGTGCGTGCACGTGTGTGTGAGAATGAGTTGAAGTGAAAAAGTTGCAGCTGAAGCGTGTTGGAGCTGTTGATAGCGCAGATGACAGCGTGGTTGCGGGTTTTTCGTTCTGCAATACACAGTATACACGAGCTATGTAGGGTATTTGTGTGGAATTGTGTCTGTGACTGTGTCTGTGGGTGTGGGTGTATGTGTGTGTGTGTGTGCGGTTAATGTTTGGCTGTGGTTAGCTGCTGCTGCTGCTGCAGCTGTTGCAGCTGTACGAATTGCAATTGTACTACACACTACAGGAAAATCAAGTAAATAAACTTATTGGAACGGGGGCGTCAAGTGCACCGCGAGCACCACTTGTGTATGTACATATGCATGTATGAATGTATAGCTTTTTCTCTGCTTTTGCTTTTGGTTTTGCTTTTTCTGCCTTTTTTGCTTTTACTCTTGGCTTTTGGCACTGTGTTCACTTTTGCAATTCACGTCGTTTAGCACTGCTGCGGTTTGTTGCTGCCGTTTGTCAATTGCCTAACCGTTTCTTGCAGCATTTGGGGCAATTTCTAAGGGGTTGCGTATGTGCGGAACACTGTTTTTTCATAAAAACTTAACTAATTTTCACGCACGTAAACCACTACAGTCGTTGTTGTTGTTTTTGTGAAATAGTGATGGGCGCCAGTGTGAACAGTTGGTGCCAAAAATACTAAAGCTTGTTAAGTATCGCTATCGATAACGGGCGTCTATAAAATTTAACAACACTATTCTCTGACAATGCAAGGGAGCATTGTGCTGCAGTGTTACATTCACTAAATTGTTTAAAATACTAAATTTCGCATTCCAAACGGAATATCGTGCTTAAGAGCACACTCACTTAAGTGGTAATATAAAATGCTGTACCGATTAAAACAGCTTTAAAAAAATACTAAAGTCACTTAATATCGTGTATAGCTATCGATAACAAACACAACCAGAACTAACAGCACTGATACTTTGTTGGCAGCTACATTATAACGGTGAAACGGAGCGCTGTTATTTTTAAATGTTCACTTAATTAAAATAGCCCGAAAACATTAGCTATGTGGATGATGCAAGAAAACAGCAATTATTTGTGCCATCAATTGAAGGTAAGTGCCCGCATGCCTCACTTTCGGCTCAGGCAATTGTACATTGCCCGACCCCCAATGGGGTTTATTGATTTTTCTCGCTTAGCTAAAATGCTGCACACGGAATCGTTGCCCAGTCATCAAGGTATCTACACGCCGCTAAGTCAGGCAATGACCGACTCCGAATCCGATGAAGAGATTGAAATACACAACGCCAACAAGCATCGACAGGGACAGCAGCAGCAGCCGCAGCAGCAGCAAATACATCATCAACAACGCAATCGCAGCCGCATACCACCCAATACATTAGCATTAAAATCGCCGCACACACGCCCCACAGCAACACGCATTGTAGGCTGCTCGCAGCCAAAGCAACAACAGCAGCCACAGCAGCTACCGGAGCAGCAACAGCCGCCCAACAGAAAGGCAAGCAGCTACACGACGAACATGCAGAACACATTCCGTTCGGTGATGCTCAGCGATTTGGGCAGCACCGGTGCCGGCAATGTTGGCGTTGAGTTCTCCAACTTCAATGGGGAATATGATGTGAGCGCCGATAATGTGGCCATTTTGGGCAATCAAACGGACGAGGCAAAGCGTCCGCCCATGTCGACTAGGAGACGCATCTGTTTTATTGCCTCGCTGCTGCTGTGCCTTTTCGCCGTCGTTGGGTTTGTTTGGATTATACCGTGCGGCAATGCGGATGGCACTGGCGCCTGTCCAGCGCCCGTGGATCGCCAAAAGACGCACAACTGGCTCAATAACTATACCAAAATCGAGCTGAGAGGCGGCGTTAATGTTGTCGCCGGCCTGCGTGCCTGGGAAAATAATCTAATATTTCTGTATCGTGGCGATGTCTTCTTTCCGGAGTTTCGTCCCAGCAATCACAAACGCAATGGCATCATATCGCTCATTGGCAGCTCCGGCGCTGTTGCCTGGTACGATGAGACGGTTGACGAGCCGGTGGCCATAGACTGCACCCTGCTGGATGTGGACAGCAACGGGAAACCGGATTGCCTGGTCATCGATGAGTACGGTGAACTGGGCGCCATCAATGCGGCCAGCGGCGAGTGGCACTGGCGCTTTAAGGATCATGCTGCCCACAAGTTGGACGCCTATGACTTTCCGCTCATCTTGCCAGACATTGATGGCGACGGCGTGCTGGACATATTGCTTATATCTAGCCTCTCGCTGGAGCAGCGCACCAAGACGTTCGTGCAGCGCCAACAGCAGCCGGGCTCACCGGCTGCAGCACAGCTGGAGGCACGCAATGTGCTGCGGCTGCTGTCGGGACGCCGCGGGCGGCCCATTGGCGAGGGCTTTCGTGTGCACGATTGCCAGAAATTGTCCAGACTGCAACTGGACACAGCTGCCGCTGCTGGTGGCAGTTCGGGCGTCGGGTCTGGCACCGCCTCGGCAGCCATGCTCAACATTAGCTACAACTGCTGGCGCAACAATACGGAGCTGCAGCGCTCCAAGACGCTGGCCGAGCTCTATGCGTTGATAACGAACAAGTCGCTTGTTGGGCGACGTCTGCTGCCCGCATCGAAGATCGCGCAGCATCGCCGCTATGCCCAGCGCAAGGAGATGGATGCACAGCGAAATGTTTATGTGCTCAGCGGACGCGAGCTGCTTGTGGAGAATCGCGGCAAGTGTCCCGATTGCAATGTAACGCTAAAGTTGAGCGAAACGCGCGACGGTAGGCACAACATGCTGCACAATTTCACGAATAGCGGCATGTACGGCATGGTGCCGGCCCAGTGGCACTTCAAGAATACCAAATCCAAGATGTCCGGCTTTGTGATAAAGTTCTGGAAGTGGCATAGTCCCTCGAATCAGCCGCAAACGCAGTCGAACAGCGGCAACAACAGCGTGGACAAGAGCCACAACTATACAAACAGCAGCAGCAGCAGCAGCAGCATCAGCTCCAAGAATATAAATGCCATCCGGGAGAAGGACAAGAGCAAGGACAAGTCATATTCAAAGTCTCAGCAGCAGCAGCATAAGAAGCAGCAACAACGCCTGAAACGCGACTCGCTGGATCATGAGTTTCCCGCGGACCAAGTGGAGTTCGATGCCTTTGAGCATTTGTTGCCGCTGCAGAAGCGCGAGGCCTTCACCATGCCCGCCAAGAATCAGAGCAAAGCCAACGCCAGTCAGTCGCAGCTCATGAAGAACTACAAAATGCAAATGATCACCGAGACGGTTATTTTGGTGCTCTTCATTGGCGCCGATACGCGCATCGAGAACACCTCGCAGAGCAATATCATCCAGTTCTGTCGCAACGATCGCAACGAAATGATCTGCCAGCCGGATCTGAACAATCAGGAGAATTCGATGCTTATTGCGGATCTCGATTCGGACGGTTCGCAAGAGTTGGTCTCCTACATGTCCACCTTTGTCCAGGCGAACGATGAACCCACCAGCGATTGGAAGCTGGTCAGCTATGTGCGACTTCTGCGACTCCAGGCCGAGCTGCCTGCCTTTTACGACCAGGAAAAACGCAACTAGGTGTCACCAAATTCGTGGCACAGAGAACGTGTGCATTTACAACCCACTCACTAGTCAGCTATATAGGGGCATTGGAAGGGATTGGGCGGCGGCGGCGGCGGCGGCGGCGGCAACATACATTACTTAGTAGTTAAATTGCTAGTTGCATTATATTACGATAACATTAAACAATTACAATTGTACTATATTATAAATAGATACCTTTTCTAGAATCCCAAAATAAAGCACTCGTGGCAATAAACGGCAACTGTTAACTTTGACTACGGAAACTGGTTGATATATAGAGCTACGGAATTCCAAATGGACAACAAGATATATATATTCGGTAAACAGACATAATGGAAACGGGGAAAAGTATTATTAAAATGAAACACTTACGATCTGCGTATGCTTCTTTCCATATCTGGTGTCTTTAACTATTGTAATCTCCGTCCAAATCAGCTGAAGTCTCCTTAAACGTGTTACTCATTCAAATTAAATATATCTTATTATAGGGGTATACCAAATGAGCCACCTTCTCGAACGTGTTGCGACATTTCGCAGTTTATATTTTTTCTTTCTAAAAGAACTAACTACCACAAGTGCATGGTAAGTTCAGGAGCTTAACAACTTCTTAAAATTCCACATCGTTAACATAACGTTTGTAGCTGGCCTGAAAATTGGCCGATGACCACTGCTCGGTTATAATCTTAAACTCAGCCTCCAGGCGCTGCAGTGACGCCGTGTTGCCCGTTTGATTTAGCTTCTTGAGTGCTCGATAGTGCTGCACAGAGAATAAATGCGAGAATATTAGGACGGATCAGAAAGTGGTCATATGGTTTAACTTACATCGGCTGTGGTGCTGGAAATAAGTGTGGCAACCGCCAGAGCCTCATCGTTGACACTGCGCGACTTGCACAGCTTGTCGATGAAGCTGCAGGGTGAATCGACAACATCGGATGCGTGCAGACGCTCGCCCAGCAAAAACAAACGCGTTTGCTAGCAAAGAAAAGAAGTTAGAATAAGTATGACAAATATATGTGAATGGGCTGGCCTACCAGTTGGGTGGAGACCTTCTGGTGTTTGAGCCAGAAGGCGTAGCCCTCCGGCAACTGGCCAAGCTTGGCGTAGTTCGTCTCAAAACAGCAATCATCGGCGGCCAGCACGTAGTCAAACAATGGCAACTGCATAACGCCCAGATTCTTCAGGTTTCCCACAATGCCAGCCACCAGGGGCTTGGGGAATGTAGCCAAGGTGCGTAGATATGTTCTGAGCGAAACAGTTTTATCAGTTAGAAATTTAGTAGACTTCAGAAATGCCAAGTGCTCACTCACTTTAAAACTAAGGCTAATTGCGTGGCGCCACTTTTGCGCTTCTCCGGCGTGGCTGCCACCAGCTCCTGGCAATCGATGCCCTGACAGAATTGTTGACCCTGCACGCTCAGTAGCACCGTGTTGCAATCGTTGCTTTTGGCCAATTTGTTTAGCATTTCGGTGAGTTTTTGCAATAACTGCATTTTGTATGTGTAGCCCGTTTTCGAGAGCTGTGTGTTGATAACTAATTGCGCGACCTTCTCCAGCTTGTGCAGCGTCACCAGCTCCATTTTGGCTACCTTCACCTCTTTGAGCTGCAGTCCGCCACGTTTAAAATCATTGGCCAGCGTTTGCGGTGCACTGCCATCGCTTCTTTGGTTGGCTTTGTTTTCAGGTTTCAAGAATATAAACGACGGATCCATTGCAGACGCATCTGAGGCATCATCCGACAGATTGGCCACTGTGCCGGGCTTATTGTCCAGCGACAGCCGATTGACAGACGCGTTACTTGAGTACGAGCTATTGGAGCGTCGACGCATAATCATAGACTCCTCGCTGGCCCGTTGCTTGTAAACATAATCCCAGGAATCAGATGCACGCGGCTTCGTGCCCTTGGTGAACACAGCATCCACGGCAGCTGCACTGTTTGTTGTCGCACGTTTGCCGGCTTTGGGTGGGCTCTCTTTTTTCGTGGGCGCTGCTGCAACCTCAACGGCATTGGCTACCGCTGCTTTCTGTAGCTACAAACCAAACAAATATTGAGATACTAGACTTGTTATTGTTGGGCGTTCCTTAGCTTACCCTTCCCGTTATGGTGAGTGCACGCTTGCGCATCAGAGGCTTATTGGCTGCCTCGCCGCCGCTCAGCTCACGCTGTTCACGCTCGACAGCTTGCATCATATTGGCGGCGCCCTCGTCACCCATCAGTCGGTCAATTTCGCTGACCTTCTTCTTTTTGGTCAAGCTGCCGGCACCATTTGGCACATTCGGTGTCTGAGAGCGACGCTTGGGCGGCGATATCGTCGCATTCGATTCTGTAAGTTTTGCTGGTGTTGCGGAGCGTTTGATAGCCGCCTTCGGTGGCTCTTTGGGTGTAGATGGTCGCAGCTTTTTGGGCGCTGTTTCCGCGTTGCTTGTCTTAATTGCTGTTGTTATTGTTGTTGTAGTTGTTGCTGCTACGGTTGTGATTGTTGCTTTTGCAGCTGGTACGCTTGTTGTTGCTTTTGCCGTTGCAGTTGCAGTTGCAGTTGCGTTGGGCTTTGCACTTGCATATTGCGCAAAGGACTTTTGCGTTTCAGGCACATCTGGATCCCAAATAATTTTGCGCTTTATAATGCGCGTACGCTTGAAACCTGCAAAACGTGCGTTCGATTTAGGATTTATCTATATTATCTGTATAAATCATGCTCACCAGTGGTTTCCGAATTGCTGTTGGGCTGCTCTGCAGTAGGTTTGGGCTTCTCCACTGGTTTCTGGCTGACGGATTTCAGCATTACCTTCACGCTGCCCACCATCAGCGGCGCCTCGATGACTGGCTTGGGCTTCTTGATGAGCGGCTTCTTTGTGGCGGGTATTGCTTTGGAATTGGAGGCAGTGTCACTGCCGCTGTCGTACTCGTTCCAGTCATCGTTCAGCGAGCTGATTATGTCCAGCGGCTGTTGCTGTTGCTGCTTAGTCGTCGCTGCCGCTGGCTCTTTGCGTCGCGATTTCTGTGCCGTCAGATTGGCCATTTGCTCGAGGGCCACGGCACGTGCCTGCTCCGGCGACAGCTTCGATTTGCCTGCGAACTTTAAGCCAGTCTTTGGGGCAGTCGGACTGCTGTTAACTGTTGCCGTCAGTTCTGGACTGGGCCCGCTCACATTGTCACCGTCATCGATTTCCATGATCTCGTATTGCCCTTCGCCCTCAATTGTGACGCCCACATTGTCCAGCTTGGCTAGTGTCAGCTCAATGTTGGACTTTTGTTCACTTGCCGCTGGCTGAACTGATTGCTCCTGTTCTTGATCGGTGCCCTTGAGCAGTGCTATCAGATCGGCTTCTTCCAAGGCGGCTGCTGTTACCGGCTCTTCCTTGACATGCGCCTTGTTGACCGGTGTGCAACGCTTCGTGGTTGTCAGTTCGTCAATAATTAGTGCATCATTGCTGCTTCCATTGCCGTTTTCGGCTGTGCTGCCAGCCGGGGCGTTTAGCAGCGCTGTCGTCTCCTCTTCCTCCTGGCCAGACTCTGTGCCATGCTGTATGTTATGCATTTTGGCTATTTCCTGCTCCAATGAGCACAGCTCATCGAGCTTTTCCATTTTTGGTTCGTGAGCCACAGCATCGTCGCTGGATATTTTCTTTTCCTCATGTTTGGGTTCCGATGCGACCGCTTTTTCTGCTTCTTCTGCTTCGATGCTGTTTGTTTCCGATGCTGCCACTTTGGGCTTTTGCTGTGCATCTAATTCTATGTCACCAACTTCGGCCATATCCCGAGTGCCTTTGAATTGGTTAACTTTTTATAAAAATGCACTATAAAGTTGAAATTCCTATGCACTTGAATAAGTTTTTATATACAATTTTTCATGCACTTGCTGCAACAGCGGCCATTTTATAGTGATGAGCATTACAAGAACTAATGAATACTCGTACGCGTATGCGATACATATTATATCGCATGGTGCAGCAAGTAACGATTGTTACTCACTTTCGTAAAATATCGATAGTAGCATCGATAGGGTTTGACAGCTCGAATCTCTACCCCCCCACACCACTCCGATGAATACTTTATAGAAAAAAAGTCTCATCTGCAGCAGGATAAACGCTGATAAGAGGGCAATTTGTTTATTTTCACGTCAGTTAAAATAAAATTCGCTGCCCAAAGAGAAAGCACTAGAACGACGGCAAGACAAGCAATTATTCTAACATTAGCGACAATCCCTGAATACCGCTCGGTCGTGGCGGCGACAACAACAACAACAACAACCAAAGCCAAAAAGCAAAATACACAATTTGGCCCAAAGTGGTGGCTGCGACAGGATGTGGGACTCGTCAATGTTTCTGAGCACATTGACGCCAAAGTTTTATGTAGCGCTCACAGGCACCTCGAGCTTAATATCGGGCCTCATACTTATTTTCGAATGGTGGTATTTTCGCAAATACGGCACCTCATTTATTGGTGAGTTTTGCTCTTGTTGGCAATTTCGAGATTTTACCCCCCCAATTGTCAAATTTGCAGAACAAGTATCGATCAATCACATTAGCCCCTGGATCAATGGAAACGATGCACAATCAGACAATGGCAGCGGCAGCAGCACCAGCAGCGGCTCCAGCAGCAGCAGCAGTGGCGGTGGGAACGGGGGTGGTGGCGGGAACGGTGCAGGCGGGGGCGGCAATTCGACCACCTCAACCGGAACACCCGAATGTAAGGTATGGCGCAATCCGTTGAATCTGTTTCGTGGCGCCGAATACCAACGCTTCTTCTGGGCAACCAGCAAAGAGCCGCTCACCTATTACGATATGAACCTGAGTGCCCAGGACCATCAGACGTTCTTCACCTGTGAGGGTGATGCACGCAAGGAGGAGTATGAAATAATGCAGACAGCGTGGCGTGAACGCAATCCCATGCAACGCATCAAATCCGCACACAATGCGCTCGAGATCAATGCCGAATGCGCACCGGCATATATACTGCTCGCCGAGGAGGAGGCCATGACCATAGTGGAGGCCGAGAAAATACTCAAGACGGCGCTGAAGGTGGCCGAAATTAATTACCGCAAATCGCAGGCAACCCAGCACCAGGGCGCCATAGCCGACGGGGTGCATCGGCGCGACACAAATGTCCTGATCTACATTAAACGCCGCCTGGCCATGTGCGCCCGAAAGCTGGGCAAGCTCAAGGAGGCGGCCAAAATGTTTCGCGATCTCACCAAGGAGATACCATCGATAATGAGCGTGCTAAACATACACGAGAATCTCATCGAAACGCTGCTGGAGATGCAGGCCTACGCCGATTGCCATGCAATACTGGCCAAATACGATGACATCTCGCTGCCGAAATCGGCGACCATTTGTTATACGGCCGCGCTGCTCAAGGCACGCGCCGTCGCTGACAAATTCTCACCGGACATTGCATCGAAGCGTGGCCTAAGTCCGGCCGAGATGAGCGCCGTTGAGGCCATACATCGGGCTGTTGAATTCAATCCGCATGTGCCCAAATATTTACTGGAAACAAAGCCCTTAATTCTGCCGCCAGAGCATATACTGAAGCGTGGCGATTCTGAGGCCTTGGCCTATGCATTCTTCCATTTAAAGCACTGGAAACAGGTCGAGGGTGCACTGAATCTCCTGCACTGCACTTGGGAGGGCACATTCCGTATGCTGCCATATCCGTTAGAGCGCGGACATCTCTTCTATCCATATCCGACGTGCACCGAGTGCGCCGATCGTGAACTTCTGCCGGCCTTTCATGAGGTCTCCGTCTATCCGAAAAAGGAGTTGCCCTTCTTTATACTCTTCACGGCGGGCCTGTGCTCGTTCACCGCCCTACTGGCCCTGCTCACGCATCAATATCCGGAGCCCATGGGCCTGCTGGCACAGACCGTACTTACCTGGATATTGTATCCGATACAGTTGCTCAAGGAGCGCATCGAGGCATTCTGGCCGTGCAATTTGCTGCAGCAATTGTCGCGTGTCTAAAATATAGCTAACCGAAACGACGCCAACGCACACAACATGCACACCCACACACACACACACGTACACACACACGCACACCCATACACCGAACTAAGATCAGGCATACGACGGGATGCTCTCAATGCATCTCAAGAGAAGAAAACCAACCCAAGCTACAAAAGAGAACTCATACAAAAACATGCAAACATATACATACCTATATATATATACACACATATATATATATATATATATACATATATTTTGGATCTTTGTCTGTGTTTCGTGAAATAATAAAAGAAAAGCAAGTATAAACAATTTTCCAATTTAAATTGAGACAAACAAACAAAATTCAATTCAATTATTTCGCTGATTTGTTCCTATAGTTATAGTTAATGAGCTAGATCGGTCCGATCGTTCGAGAATATCGTAAGAAGTAATTCATTAATTGCCACTAATTGATGTGTTTTTGTGTGTGTTTCAGCTTGGCGCTCATGTATTTTGCTTTTAAGTTTTATTTAAATACGATTAGTTTATGTACGACAAATATATACGAAATTGATAAATTCAATATTTATTTCAAATTTATCTTGTGTTGTTTATGTTTTCTACTTTGTGCCTCGTCTCTAAAGCGCCCATTTAAAAAGCAGACAAATTCCTTTAAAATATTGTTAAATTTCCCTAAAGCAGCGCGATTCAAGATTGTTCTCATGAAATTCATCACAGCCTCCACCCATCAATTACTTCTTATCTTATCATAACTCACCTGCTGTTGAACTTTATCAGACTTGTCGCACTCACCTGATCCACCAATGCGCGCGTCGATGCCATCAGCCGAGCTGGAATAGGCCGAGCCGGGATAGGCCGAGCCTGTATTGGCTGCGAGTACTTTAGCATCCAGGTTATGCGCAACTCTGTGCCCTTTCCGTTTGAGTTACAGTTGGAAATCTCGCTTTCCTCATTTAATCTTGCTGCGGCTGCTGATCTCGCAGAGTTAGATGAGCACTTTGGAGCGTGAATCGCCATTGGTTGCTGGGAATATCTCGCACTTATCGCCTAGCTATCCTATTATTGCTCGTCTCACTGATAATGCGCCTCACTTGGTCGGGTAAATTAAAAGGTAAGGTAACTCGGTTTTACTCGATCCCTTTGGATTATGATGTGGCGTACTCCGATTGATGTGATTGACATCCTTTTACTTATCTAATCGTTGTTCGTTGTGATGATGATTTTTGTCGAGCGTTCAGAAATTGTTTGCTTTGATGTTTTATTGTTAACAAACAGATTATCAATAAGAAAAATAGAAAATTGATATTTTGAGTATGATTGTTGTTTGTGCACTTTGTGACGCGTTTCTTAAATTCCAATTTGTAAAGCACATATATCCAATTTATAAATCACATATTTTATAGTAGCCACCGCATTCTTTGCATTTTGTTAGCATTCCCCTAAAACGATTCGGGTTTAGTGACAAATAGTATTCCTTGACAGCTATCAATATGTCGGAAAACATATGCGATAGCTGCATTACGCTAAGCCCCGAATATTTATCCAAAATATGTGTACCAATTCTATATAGCACCGATTCTGAGCTAAGATAGAACTGCAGCTGCTCATGTAGCTCCTCCCAAAGATTGTCCATGAATATTTCTGTCATATTCAGTGCGAAACGCATCACATCCTCTGGCAAGTTGTCAGCCAAGGAGAGCAGCGTCGTTTCGAAACTCTCAGCATTGACGATATGCTCAAAAATGGATGCACCAAATTTGGAGAGCACCAATGATACACCGTTAATCATAAGGCTGCTGAGCCTTAGCACATTGACGCCTTCAGCATAGTTTCTGTTCGTCATATCCGTCTGATCCACCAAAGTGGGGTTCGGTGACAGTAGCCGAGCTGGTGCCGTAAACCGTTTGCCATTGTTGCCGCCCACATTATAGCTCTCCGGTATTGGCTGCGTCACCTGACCAAGCACATCGGGACCCACTTTGTGCTGCAAGCTGGCACGCAACTCGGCTCCGCTAGTTTTGACCTGATCGTTCAACACTATGCCATTTCCATTTGAGTCAAAGGTGGCACGTATGCCTTTCTCATTCAATTGCCTGTTGATCTTGTAAAGATCATTGAACTCCTGCCGTGAAGGCATTTCATTCACATTGCGTATGATATCCAGCTTGCCTCTGGTGGCACCCCTAGTGCGTATCGTCTCCTTGGATATCTTGTCGAACATGCGTCTGCAAAAAACATGCAATAACAAGTCGTAAAACAAGAACGAAAAGTTTCTTTTCGGCTGGCCGAAAATAAAATACCCTTGCAGACGTGAATCCCATCTAAAGTACATTTATATTACTTATTTCCTATGGCACACAGACGGACATGGCAAATTTATAGAAGGCTAGATAAGCACTAGTTTAGATAGTTTACCGTTGTCGATTGCTCAGAGTCTCGCGATAAGTGCCTATTTTGCTATTGGTAGTCTCGCTGATAATGGTCGATGCCAGTTTAAAATTGTAGACGCTGTGGGTGAACAGCACCAGCGAGGCGGAGAGCTGCAGTGCATCCATGGCAGAAATATCGTCACCATCCTGGTATTTCTGCAAGAGTCTTTTATGTAACCGGGCAGCTTATTTAAACAATAATAGATATTACCAAAAACAATTCAACAACGCCGTTAACCACACCCGTGCCAGATACCATAATGGTGGTGATGTTCATGCCATTGACAGTCAGCTGGGTAATCTGTTAAGTAAATCTGAATTAGTCTAGTTTTGGGCTATGCCTTTGGTCTACACTTACGGCGCCCACTTCCCGACCAGCGCTTGTGGCCACTGTCATGGCACTTGTAGCTCCTGCTGCACCAAGTCCGACAGCGCCGGCAATCACGCCCAGCCAATGATTGCGCGCCGTGCGATCTGTTACACTGATTGACTGATTGTGAATGCTGCGATCGGCCAGCTGTGCGCCAGAGCGAGCCGTTGCATAGCCGGCACAGCCCAGCCCGACGGCACCAGCCACAGCCATAACGGGCGCGGCGACAGGCAGCGTTAGGACCGCCGCAATTGGCACACAAGCCGCTCCCAATCCACCAATTGCCGTGGTCACATCGAGTACGCCAAGAACTTTGCGCTTTGCTGACGCTGCCGGCGTACTGCATGTTTCCAGGTTCACAATGTTTCCATCCAGAGTGTAAACGCCTCGGCTTGGTGCAACCATAATGCCCGCCGGCAACTCATTGTTGGACAAATACGCCTTCCAGTTCTGATACACACGACCCTTCTCATCCACGAAGATCATGCAGCAATCGAGGCTGTTGTATCCATTGCGGTCAGCTGCAAGCAGAGACTTTACCAAAACACATAGATCTATTTAGAGGGGAAACTTACAAACGCAACGACGTGCCCGGAACACTGGATGGCAGGACCAACATTTGGAGTACTCTGCAAATTTCAGATCGGTTGTATCGGTCGCAACCATCACATAGAAGATCGATGTAAGCGATTGGCGATTGGTGTATTTACCTGAATGAATCACATAGATTGAATCAATTGATCTAGAGCCTATGACTTTACAATATTTACTTACGCTGCTCCCAAATGCTATTGAACAATGTCTCCCGCATATGTTCATTTGCCCGACATTGTTTTTCCAATTTCTTTTTAGCATCATCTGCCAGATTCGTTGCTATTTTAGGATCGGGTATTATGTTCTTGATTTTTTTCTTCAAAATATCGGCTTGCTCGTGCGATAAGCTTTAATTACATACATTTCATGATTAACAGACATTGATATGCATTAAAATAAATAACTAAGGCGCACTACTCACAGGTCCCAAATAGTTTCATTGAAATATCCAAGGGATGCAGCAAAAGACTGTTGCACCTCGCGTATAGTTTGTTGGTTTTCATTATTATCGTTAGCTGCTACCAAGGCTCCTTGTTGGTTTTTGTTAGCTACTGCCATTTTCTTTTATTACTTATTACCACGCAACTTCTGGACTGCGAATGGCACATTTTGTGTGAAATACCAGCTTATATTTGTGCGATCGCGTCACTTAGCTAGTGATTCAATTGCTAGCGATGGCAAACTAATCAAAACGTGTTAACGATACTGCGCAACATTGTAATTCGCTGCATATCGATATTAATAGGACAGCGATAGTTGATTGTAGCTATCGATTAAGTGGAATCTAAGCATCCGTTATGCTTACTTGACCATATATTTAAATAAAATTAAAATTAAATCAATAGTTAGATTAATTTAATAAATCGTCTGCATTTGCATATTATCACATATATATGCATTATTTAGCTTTCTTCAGCATTAAATCCGGCAAACACATTTACATTTTCATACATACGATTTCCAGACCGGTTTTGCGTACCAAAAGAACACGAAGTGTGTGCTTATTTTCGTTTTGGCTTTCATTGGCATTGTGACGTTGAACTTGGCAATCTGTTTTGGCATCCTCAACGACACTGACTGTAGGTCCCCAACGGATGACTAACTCATTGACATACCCAAATTTCCCATTCCCGTGAATTTTATATTTTCACATAGAGCTGCAACGCCATAACACGCAAACTGCGTGCATTATACACACATTTATTCTGCGAAAGCAATTACATATACATATACATGTATGTTAGCATTTCTTTGGCGACATGCAATTAGCGTGTTAATGTGCGCCGCCGACTCTTTAAATTAGAGAGGGAGAGAGAGAGCGAGAGAGCTTTTTTCTTTGAGTGTGTTTCAGGCTGTTATTTAACTGGACATTCAAAAGCAACAACATACAAGAGAAAGAGAGTGAGAGAGAGCGAGAGAGTTAGGCAGCGCGATTTCATCTTGGTTTGAGATCTGCGTCTGGGTCTGGGTCCGTTAGTTGGGGCCAGTTGTTCGGCCAATAGCGTGCCAGGCGGTTGAGTTTCGCGCACGAATTTTCGTTTGAAGAGATATTATCAAATAAATTCTGATAGATACACGACAGCATAACGGATCAAGCGCAAACAAAGAAAAAGCATTTTTTTATTCTTTATTTTGCCCTGGCAACGCATTAAAATTCATTTCAGACTCAATTAAACGCGTTGATTAATTGTAAAATTGTAAAATGAGCAACTCACAGCATATTACGCTCGACATGGACAAGGTGTCCACGGACAAAACTCCAGCGAAAAATCAAGTAAGTTTTTGCGATCATAAATCTACATGCGAGCAAAACAAACTAAGAGGTTCTCGTCGGGAGCGCCCGACTAGGGAATACCCTGAACACTCTTATTCCAACACCAAATTGGTGGGCTTTATAAGTTGCGTTATTAACTTGATTTATAGCTTTGCGGTGTTAGCGGGGAGGTGGCGATAGGCATAAAATGAAAGATACTTTATATATATATAATATTCTAGAAGTAACATATCAAGTTTGGTGACTCTAGCTCTTAATATTCACACAAGTTGCTCAAAAAACAGTATTTCGATATCGATTTTCATCGATAGCTTGGAAACGGAGTAAGTTATCGATTATCGGATACAAACTCGATCTGCGCGCGCACTAGGAGGACCTACAGCTAAAGTGTCTAGCTCTTATGGGTTCTGATATCCTTGCGTTCATACAGACGGACGGACGGACAGACAGACGGACGGATAGACGGACGGACAGACAGACAGACATGGCTAGATCGACTCGGCTATTGATGCTGATCAGGAATATATATGTCGGAGATGCTTCCTTCTACATACACTTGCACAAAACAATATACCCTTTTTACCCATTTTTAAAGGGTATAAACAAATAAAAAAAATAACGTTCAAATTAGCAAAACAAACGTTGCGCGGGAAAAACACGTAAAAATTTGTTTACTTTACGAATAGGCTACTGAAACGTCAATCTCTTTCTTTATTATATACACTAGTTGATAATTGCAATTGTTTCCTTAATCATTCTACTCTGGGAAAGTATTCAACAGACCCGATTAGTCACGGATCTAAGTTGAAAACGTGCCTTGGGATTTTTATGTTCAGCTTTTGCACTACATATACATAACAATAATAAAAGATTATTAATGTAAATGAATTTATCAGCAAACATGACGGAAGCTGTGGTGCATAATAAATATGTTTGCATTTGATTAGCTTTGTTAGAGAAAAGCACACTTGCAGTACTTGATCTAATGAAGGTCATTTTCATTTTTGTTGGCATCAAAAGGTTAATCACATTGAGGCCGTGGATGACATCGATGGACGTAAGGTGCGCATACCTCGAGCAGGTGGGTAAACATTTTGTACATTCATTTAACTCAATATTAATCATAATCTGTGTGTGCGCTTTAATTAAATGTTCTCTAACCAAACTGATTCGTCTATAAACATTTTCACCTGTGCCTGTAACAAACAATTGTGTAAGAACCTGAAACTCACCTGCTCCGTAACTATCTCAACTCATATTTCAATTGCAGTGCCCGAAATCGATGATGATGATGATGAAAATGATGAACGACCATATGCGAATGGCATCAATACCGGCGTGGATGATGGCCTGCTAGGCAATGGAGATGGAGCTGGTAATGGTGGAGCCACAAAGCCCATGCCGAATGGCGGACGTCGTCACAGCGTCGGGTATCCGGGCTATGATGGCACCGGCTTTGTCAACATCAATGGCGTGGAGACGCCCATACCGGATGTGAATGCCTATCAGCATAAGAAGACGCTCGCTCAGGGCATGATGGATCTGGCCCTGCTGTCGGCCAATGCAAATCAGTTGCGTTATGTGCTGGAAACCAGTAATCAGCATCCGTATTTTTATCCCAGCCTATTGTTCATATCGGTGAGCATCATATTCCAGGTAGGTGCCACTCATTTGCATATTGCCAAATTTGCAGTGCACTTATTTATGAGGGTGCGTCTCCTTGCTTAACTTACAGATAGCCGTCGGTGTTGGACTTATATGGAACGGCAGGTTCAATATCAGGAACGAACAGGAAATCTGTCGTGCCAATAAAATTAATAATTACACAGTCATTGGCATATTTATTGTAACAGTTGTGAATGTTTTAATATCAGCCTTTGCTGTGGCAGACCGAGCTCCCGCAACGACAACGTAACCGCACAATTTACGATTAGAACTTTTAGAAATTATATGTTTAGGCAAATACTCACAATTTTTACGAAAGCACTTTTCTCATTTTTATATTGTGATAAATAAATTGAAAGTCATCAAGTTGAGCGGCGTTTGAATTTATGCAATGCGCGCCAATACTTATCGAACTGCCAATCGATAACTTGTGTTTGCAAAAGTGCGATCTCAGCTATTTTGATGACAATATAACAGCTCTGTCTAGCTGAATGAATTTGTTGTTCAGCCCTGGCTGTTGATTTTGGGCCATATTTTGCCGTTGATTTTAGCCGAATTTAACACGCTTATAGCACAATTTTCGTTAGTAATATGGCCAAAATATTAAAAGCGGTAAGTGCCCAACTAGTCAAACCAGTTGGCATCCATCTAGCAATTACATCAAGTGCCTGCCGCGCACTTGTTATTGTTATGTCATCGGCTGTCCGGGCCAAGAATTTGTTAAAAATTGCTCTAATGCTTGCATCCTTACAGTCCACCGGCTTAACCGGTCTGGCCGTGGCCACCAATCCACACCACACACTGAGCGCACTCTACGGCAAGATTCTGCGCGCCGTTGCCAAAATGCCGCAGGAGTCCAGCTATCGCAAATATACCGAGCAGCTGGTCAAGGAGCGCGCCGATGCCGTGGCTCAGGTAGGTTCTCCAGTCGCAGGCTGTTAGCAGATATAATTCCGTTAAACTTTTCTTTTGGCTTGCTGCAGAACAAGGATATTTGTGCACTGGAGCAGGCCGTTGGCTCCGGCCAAGTCGAGGAGCTGATCGTGCAGGCCGAAAACGAATTGACCCTGGCGCGCAAAATGCTCGGCTGGAAGCCGTGGGAGAAACTGGTGCAGCCGGCACCAGCCAGGCAATGGGATTGGCCGCCAGCGCAAATCCTTGAGCCCAAAGTCTAATCAACTAGTTTGTTTTCCATTCGTCTCACACGCTTGAATTCTGTTCAATAAAAACAAAAAGCCCAAACTAAGCTTGTGTTTGTATTGAAGTCGCGTTGCGATAAGCCGAGTCGAACGTTTCGTGTCAATCGCTCAATGTCGTCAGTATATTCTCAACATGCGAGCGCTAAACATCTGTCTGCTGCTGATGCTAATCGTGGCCATAGGCTGTGCTACGGCCGCGCCAGCTGCTCTGCGAGAACGTCGCCAAATCGATCTGACGCTGTCCGCCGAGCACGACGACAAGGATGACGAAACGGAGCTGGCACTGGAGGCGATTGCGGGCTTGTGGAGCAGTCCGGATAGCCGTACCAAGCTGGATGGTTCCGCCCGTGTGGTGCATCGTGTCAATGGAATGCAAACGGGTAACACAAGCTACCAAGCGCGCGTCCATCTGCATCACGATTATAAAACCAATCCATATCAAACGTAATGCCCAATTGCCACAAAACAAAGGTTCGGAGCAGGACTGGCGGCTGGGCGTGCGTGTTGTTTTCAGTTAAGATCAGACGGGAACGGGAACAGCATTATTACAAGATTGCGTGCGCCGATGTCGAGGCACAGTCAATTGATTGATAACTTCTTTGACCTTTTCTTCGACTAAATACATAAATTGTAATTGCAAAAAGTCTGAACTGTTTGCTTTATTGTTCACGCACCGCAGCACATTTTCTGCTTATAGTTAAACAACAACAACAACAACGACGACGACGACGACGACAACGATTCCACAACGTAGCAGTGCGAGGACATATATATGTATATATAATAAATAAAATCGAACAAATAAGTATAAATGCCATTAGTCAATGTTTTCAGGCGGCATCCAAATACCTCCGAGTAGCAGCCGTGGCAGCTCTGCAGCTGCAGCTAATTAAAGTGTACGCCCGATGCCTGCTGCTGTTTGAGCTGCTCGACAACAAAGTCACGGAACTCCATGTAGGCTACATCGATGTCCACATTGTTGATGATCTTGTGAAAGTTACCGGGCGTCAGGCCATAGGCAATCTCCAATTCGGCCGCCTTGAGGCGTTTCTGCAGCGTCTCTGGCGTTTCGCTGTTGCGTTTAAGCAGACGACGCTCCAGTTCGGCGATGGTCGGTGGATTGTTGAAGATCAGTATGGGATTGAGATCGGTTTTCTTGATCTGCTCCACGCCCTTCTGTTCGATGTCCAGTATGCACACACGTCCCTGGCTCTGTATGTCGCGCACAGCCTGTTTGCTGGTGCCGTACATGTTGCCCGTAAATTCGGCCGTTTCAATGAACTCATCATTGGCAATGGCCTGTTCCATGTCCGATCGACTCACAAAATAATAATGTACGCCATGCTGTTCGCCTTCGCGTGGATGGCGCGTTGTGTGCGACACGCTGAAGCCAAATTTGTCCGGAAATTCCGCAAATAGACGCTTTAGCAATGTGCTCTTGCCGGAACCGGAGGGGCCGCAGAGCACAAGTGGACGTGGGCCAGAACCTGCTTGCGACATTAATGTGCTGCTGGTGCCGCTGAACGCGCGATTCACAATGAACAGAAAGCTTATCATATTCGACCCGAAAGCTAACTAGTTTGGCTAAATTAACCCGCAGATGGGGACCTTGCTTAACGACTCGATTGCGCTCTTTATTAGTGATGGTAGCGTGTTCAATGTGGCGGCGCGTTAGTTTTTACGATAAATGCACGCAAGCGATTAATTTGTATATCGCACGCGCTCGATAACAGCTATCGAGTTTGAAATGAAATACAGTTGATTGGTTTAAAAACGGTTTATGCGCATATTCTTAAACTTTTTTTTTTTTTTTCGTTTATATTTAGCATAGATTTTTCAAACACATACACACTGAAACGAATGCTGCTGCTGTTTTTTTTTGTTTTTGTTTTTTTTTTTTTGTATATCGTTATCGGCTGTTATTAATTTGAATTCGAATTACAATGCATTTGAAACTTAGTTAGCTAAAAATAATTATGGATTTCACTTTTCATGTTTACGTTTTTTTTTTTTTATTTTGATCACAATTTGATTTCGCATGCCCAAAATGAATTTTTGGCTTGTGTGTTCCGAATGATTTGCCTGAATATAATCTCTTCATCCTGTTCCTGTTCCTGTTCCCGTTTCCCGTTACCGTTCCACATAATGTTTATAATATTAAGCCTATATATCTGCCGAAAATGTGACTAATTTCGAATTCTATATCAATTATATATCAATGCATTTGCTCGAGATACTACAAAATACGCTAATTTTCAGTCAATATTACGTGCTTCATACTTTTAGCTTGTTCTTCCTTCAATACAATTTTTCCAATCTTTGAAGTTATTCGAAAGGCATTTTTTTGCATGAAAATTTGTGAAACTTGGGTCTTGTCTTGGTATTTCTGGCATGTTAAATATATATATAATTATGGATATTCTTTTATGTACAAATGTTATAGGTTTTGAGCTTTCGATGCATAATGTATGTGGTTCTGTTTTAACGAGTTAAAATCAACTAAATAACAGTACTATCGTGTTGAATGGTGTGGAAGGGTGGGTGTGGAGGGGGGGGGGGGGGGGGGGGGGGGGGTGACTTGCTATTTGTAACATCATAAATTGAGTCTATGTATATTATTTTATGAAATGTTTTATGTTGCGGCAAAGTAAATGTATTGTGCAATTGTTGCCTGCAATTTATTAGAGCCCTAAAAATTTGTATACAACTAAAGCTAATGCGTTATGTTAAAATTGATTACAAAATATTTGTATATATATATATATATATTTAAATGTGTTATCGACCACGAAAAGCTACAAACTAAACTTGTACAACCCCAAAGAACTGAGTTTCACAGCTGGGGCTGGGGGCTGGGTGGATGGGGGGATGGAGGGGGTGTAGGCGTTCGGCTGGCCCTTCAAAAACGGGGCGATCTTTCTTACAGACTACAATCATGAATTATTCATATATGTTATGTATATATGCAATTACTATAGGAGCTTAAAAATGTTCATTCGTTTATGTTTAACTTCATTTTTTTTTTGTTTTTGTGAATTGCTATTGTTAATTGTAGTTAATTAATTGTTTGTTGTTGTTTGAAAATGAGAAACACGACAAGTATTAACAGAAAAAAGAAGCTACTAACAATGAACGTTGCCGACGCGTTTTTGTTACATTCTTTGTGTATAATTATGTATAATTAATTATGTAATAATTATTGTTTACAAATAGAATCAATCAATTTACGTGTACATTATGTTTGCTTGCATAAATTATAAAATTACCTAATCAAGAAAAATGATAAAGTTAGTAAGTTATAGTTGTTGCAATTGTTGCAATTGTTGTTGTTGTTGTTGTTGCTGTTGCTGTTCATGTATAGAGCCTCCTGTTTAGGCCTTCCAATTGTTCTGGCGACTACCGCTGGGTCCACTCGGCTGCTGTGGCGGTATCATCTCCAGCAGATATTGACGCTGTAGCTCCGCCGCCCGCTGTATGTCCGCCAAGCTGGTCGCATTGTTCGAGTTCTTCGATGAGCTGGACGCTGAGCTGCTCTTCTTGTTGTTGTTGTTGAAAGCTGTGTAGGCAAGATATGACAGATTCAAATGTTATCACAAATATCTTATCTGAACATACAGCTAACCTAAACTAGACTGAGTAAATATATTAAATGCATTCTAATAGCTTTTCTAGCTTTAGTCTTAACAAAATACTATAAACTGAAAAAAATACTCAATTTGGATTAGTTTTTCTTTATATAAAAGTTGTTCGACTCTCACGTGCGGGCCTCTGAAGTTGTCCGTATATACACATGTCTGTTAACTACCGGATTTAACCGCTGTTATCAGCCACTGTTAACACAATGTTAAAACTAGCTTTAAACTGCAAATTGTTTATCCTGAAACTTGCAAATTTGTATGCCTGTTACTGCCGCATTTAACAGCTTCGATTAACAGCTCAATGTAAAGTTTAGTTTAGCTGCTATCACCTTCTGTTACACTGCAAATTATTTAGCTAATCCCCGTCGAATGCCTGCTAACTGCCGTCTTTTACAGCTGTTACCAGTTTCTGTTAAGAGAATGTTAAGACTAGCTTTAAACTGATCATTTTTCATCTAATCCGGATGGTTGTCCATTTGTATGCCTGTTAACTGCTATCTTTAACAGCTGTTATCAGCTTCTGTTAAGCTGCTAATGGTCTAGCTAATCCGGATGGTTGTCCATTTGTATGCCTGTCAACTGTCATCTTTAACAGCTGTTATCAGCTTCTGTTAAACTGCTAATTGTTCAGCTAATCCAGATATCCTAACTGATCCTGATCCTGACTCACCTGCCACTTGGGCCGCCTGCGCCATGGCCATTTGGTAGGTGTAGAGAAGTGGCGCGAATTGCATCATGTGCTGCGGATTGCCGCCCAGGCCCTGGCCGAGTGCTGCAAGCAAATTAAACATATTAAATATATGGAGTTAACGGAATTTAATAATGGGACAAACCTCTGAAGAGCTGCTGCTGAAAGGCCTGCATGGCCGCGGCTGGCGAGGCATTGCCCAGGGCAGCCGCCGGATTGTTGGCTGCCGTCGAGGCGCCGCCAAAGTTGCCCAGTCCGCCGAGTGCCGCCAGATTGCCCAGCTGATTGAGATTACCCAAACTGGCCAGATTGTTGATATTCAGTCCGCCCATGCCGCCCAGCGCACTGAGATGCGCTGCCGCTGCCAGCGTTGCCGCCGAATACTTGTCATAGCTCTGGGCCTGCTGCTGCGCCTGTTGCTGCTGTTCGCGCTGCTGTTCCCGCTGCTGCTGCTGCTGCTGCTGTTGGTGTTGTTGGTGCTGCTGCTGTTGCTGCTGTTGTTGTTGCTGCTGCTGCTGTTGATGGTGGTGATGATCGCGTTCGACGCGCGAGGAGCGCCCAGTCGCCGAGCTGGCGGCCTCGTGGTGATGCGCTGCCGCTGGTCCCGGACTGAGTATGCCCGCCTGCTGTGCCGCAATGGCTGCTGCTGCCGCTGTGGCAGCGGCACGCGAGGAACGTGGTGTGCTCGACGTCGGCAGCGGCGGCGGCGGGGTGGGCTGGCTTTGTGTGGCTGGCGGTGGTGGCGTCGGGCGTGGCGCTGGTGTCGGTGTCTGGCATTTGGTTGGTATAACAGTTACCGATGGCGGCAAATTGACCAAAGCAGCAGCCGCCGAGGCATGCGACGCCTGCAGCTGTTCGCGCTGTTCCCGTTCCCGTTCGCGCTGCAGCGCCTGCTGATGCTGATGTTGATGCTGATGCTGATGCTGATGAGCGGAGGAGACGCTATTGACGGCGGATAGTGCAACGCTGCTGGCATTGTTCGAGGCGGCATGCGCCTCGACGGGCGAGGGACTGCTCTGGCTGGCCAGACGCTGTTCGATCTCCTGCTCCTGCTGCAGCGCCTTGACAAACGCCTGCTTCAGTCGATTCGTGTGCTCCGCCTTCAGAGCCTTCTTCACATTTGATGTCACGCACTGCTCACATATGACCTTGGCCTCCTTATTGGCTACATTGACAGGAATTGGGTAAATATGTTACTTGTCTATACACTGGAAATGTTAGCTATTTG